GTAGACAGGACTTTAAACTACTAAGGGGGGGGGGGGGGTAAATTTAATCACATGTAATCCGTTACAATTAAAATTAGGATCGATGAACGTAGGAGAGCAGATTAACCAGGGAGATGAGCAAAGGGTGTCAAGCGGGGAAAGGAAGCCCACGGATAGGGTACTGGTGAATAGGACTAATAGCCCGAAGTCAGAATTAAAGGTGCTATATCTGAATGCGCAAAGCATTCGAAACAAGATAGATGAGTTAAATGCACAAATAGAAACAAATGGGTATGATCTAGTAGCCATCACCGAGACATGGTTACAGGGAGATCAAGGGTGGGAGCTAAATATTCCAGGGTACGTGGTGTATAGGAAAGATAGGCAATGTGGTAAACGAGGAGAGGGGGGTGGTCCTGCTAATAAAGGATGGCATAAAAACAGTAGAGAGGAAAGATTTTAAATCAGAAAAGCAGGAAGTAGAGTCAGTATGGGTAGAAGTATGAAACAACAAGGAGCAGAAAACTCTAGTGGGAGTAGTTTATAGACTCCGAACAGCAGTCATAGTATCTCTCAAGGTATAAATCAGGAAATTAGCGGAGTATGTAGAAAAGGAAAAACATTAATTGTGGGTGATTTTAATCTGCATATAGATTGGGACAACCAAATTGGGAAAAGTATGATAGAGGAAGAGTCTATAGAATGTATTAGGGATAATTATCTAGATCAGTATGCCGAGGAGCCAACCAGGGAACAGGCCATATTAGACCTTGTTTTGTGTAATGAAGCAGGGCTGATCAGCAAACTGGAAATTAAGGCTCCTCTAGTGCAAAGTGATCATAATATGATGGAATTTAGAGGTGGCTACTGAGATAGTGAATGGCTTGTCTTTGATCTTCCAAAATTTTCTGGATTCTGGAACGGTTCCCATTGATTGGAAGATTGCAAACGTAACACCGCTATTTAAGAAGGGTGGGAGAGAAAAGATGGGGATCTATAGACCAGTTAGTCTGACATCAGTGGTAGGGAAAATTCTTGAGTTCTTAATTAAAGATGTTGTTATGGGATTCCTGGAAGACCATAACAAGATTAGGCAGAGTCAACATGGCTTTACAAAAGGGAAGTCATGCTTAACTAATCTTTTAGAGCTTTTTGAAGATGTGTCTAGCAGGTTAGATAGGGGGGAACCAGTAGATGTAGTATATTTAGATTTTAAAAAGGCATTTGACAAAGTGCCACACAAAAGGCTATTGTCCAAGGTTAAGGCCCACGGGATTAATGGGAACATATTAGCATGGATTGAAGAGTGGCTAATGGGTAGAAAACAGAGAGTAGGGATAAACGGGTCATTCGTGAATTGGCAGAATGTGACTAGTGGAGTGCTACAAAGATCAGTGCTTGTGCCTCAGCTATTTACAATTTATATCAATGATCTAGACGAGGACATTGAATGTAACGTATCTAAATTCGTGGATAACACTAAACTAGGTGGGAGAGTAAGCTCTGAGGATGATGCGAAAAGATTGCGACGGGATACAGATAGGCTAGGGGAGTGGGCGAGTAGGTGGCAGATGGAATTTAATGTGGGGAAGTGTGAAGTTATTCACCAAGGTAGAAAAAATAGAAAAACAAAGATTATTTTCTAGAGGGGGAGAGATTAGACAGTGTTAGTGTTCAGAGGGATTTGGTTGTCCTTGTACACCAATCTCAAAATGTTAGTTTACAGGTGCAGCAAGCAACTAAGAAGGCGAATGACATGTTAGCGTTCATTGCAAAAGGTTTAGAGTACAAGAGTAGGGAAGTCTTGCTGCAACTGTATAGGGCCTTGGTGAGACCGCACCTAGAGTATTGTGTTCAGTTTTGGTCTCCTTTTTTAAAAAAGGACATACTTGCCCTAGAGGGAGTGCAGTGTAGATTCACTCGGTTAGTTCCTGGGATGAGGGGACTGACCTCTGAGGACAGGCTGAATAAACTAGGGCTGTATTCTCTAGAGTACAGAAAATCTATAACCAGGGGTCACAGTCTTAAAATTAAGGGTCAGCCTTTTAGAACAGAGTTGAGGAAACATTTCTTCACTCAGAGGGTAATGAATTTATGGAATTCACTACCTCAGAAGGCTGTAGATGCTCAGTCCTTGAACATCTTCAAGGCTGAGACTGATAGATTTTTTAAAAATAGAGAGATTAGGGGATATGGGATAGGGCAGGTAATTAGTTAGGTCAGAAGATCAGCCATGATCTTATCGAATGGCGGGGCAGGATCGAGGGACCGAATGGCCTACTCCTGCTCCTAATTCTTATGTTCTCCTAACCCTATCCTCCCTACCCTCCACCTCTTGCCTCCAGCCCACTGCTCTGGTGTAAACCCTCAACTGTCCAGCGCCTTGGTACATCCTCCTGTCATGAAAGGCGCTATATGAATGCAATTTACTGCTTTGTCCTCTGGAGTCAAGTGGATCACCTACTTCCTGAAAAGTGTCTGGGTCACTGACTAGAATTCAAGGAACCTCTTGTGGGTTCCCTGACACGCTGAGTCAGCAAGCAGTCACGTATCCATTAATAAGTACAGACTTTTGCACATGGGTACTTCCATTTTATGTGGGACTGATTGAAGTCCTGCATCAGCACTACCTCTCCGACCTCCTCACTCCCTAATCCACCACCCGGCGCCTCCGCTCAACTGGCACCATCCGCTCCACCATTGGAGGTCGCACTTTCAGCCACTACCCCCCGAAAACTCTGGAACACTCTCCCTCAATCCCTCTGCATTTCCCCCTCTCTCAAGTCCTGCCTGAAAACCTTCCTTTTTAACTGTGCTTACGGTCACCTTCCACCATCAGTGTTATGTACACATGTACAATATTTACCCCTTTATACATGTGCCTTATCAGAGTATATTCGATCGTCCCGTCTTCTCCAGTGATGTCCATTTGGCCCTCTATTGTATTACATATAATGCCTTTTTCATTCACTACATACAAACTTCATAGATAGATATCTCAGCCTAGGTATTCCAAACCTGCTAATCTCTCAAGAAGTCAATGTGCTGTCTTGTATTTAAGAATTAGATCCTTCGATTACATGCATTACTTCATCAATAAGAATTTACATCAGAATACAGTGTGACAATTTTATTTCGTTTAAAAGATTCTCATCCTCTGATGTCACTGAAACTCCCAAGGAGACAGTGAACCCCTAACTGCAAATATTAGATCATTACTTATGCCACAATGTGGAAAATAGCAACAAACCAGATGTACTCACTTTGCACACTACACTTTGCACTCATTTTGCACATGAACATTGCCCCATATTGATTGTTACATGTTTGCATTAGATTTCCATTATGAACTGAACTTGTGTTCAGTCTAGGAAAATAATTTGGTATTTGTGGTATCAAATGCAAGAATTATTTGAAACTAAAATACTTCAGATTCTCTATTTGTATCAGCAAATTAGTACATAGCATTTTCACATCAACAGTTAATGGTCTTCATTAGTTTATATTACACTAACTGTACCCGTTACAGCTTCGCTTACAACCAAATCAATATCAAATGTAGATTGACACACAGACATTTCGTCCTTATTAGTATTAGATTTTATTATATAAAATTATATGCATGAGAGGGGAAGGGGCTAAACCCGAACCCTGGGTGAGGCCCCAACTCATGCCCCAGGCTTCACCCTCTCCGGCTAGTTGCTGATAGGCTGCGGAGCAGAGGAACCCAGAAACCCTGCAGCCTTACGAAGCCAACCATAACCCGCCACCGGTCCAACTCCGACACAGCAGGAAAAGCAGTTGGACAGCTGCCCTCCACGCAGCTTGAAGCAACTTCCACTTCACCACCGCCATCTTGTTCCCGCTGCTTGGCTTCGTCTGCAGTGCTTGCTGTGTGTCACAGCCCCACTGGGAGTCGGTGCGGCCTCCAGGTCTAACTGCAGCATACATGTAACTGCCATACATATGGAAGGAGCTTCTTTAGGTCATAGCTCATCCACAATAGGAGATAACCCACCAAAAATATGCCCATGACACTCCTCCATTCAAGACCTTTCCGAGGTATAAATCATGTCGCTGTGGCAATCAGTTATTGAGTTGCTTGGCAGACAGATGGACAGACAGATAGACACTACATCTTTATTAATATAGATGAATAATTGAAAGTAATGAATGATGTGAGAACATGGGGGTAATTTAGCAGTAGATTTGATGTTTATCACATGAAATGTGGCAGAGGCAGTCCCTCCCCACCTTTGATGGGACGTCCTCCTGACGTGAAAGGCGCTCTATAAATGGAATCTTGTTGTTGTTGTTGTTGATTTTCCATTAGCAAGATTTCATTTTTTTCCCAAACATAAAAGTAATATCTGGTATATTGCTAAGAGTCTATCAAAGGCTTCCAGAATTCCAAATGCTTTACTTTTAATACATCAGCATACAGAATAGTCAGTAGCCCATCTCATTTAATGCAGGACAAGAAATAATAGCTGCATTTGATAAAGTTGTTACGTTGTCTCAAAGCACTTTACAGGTTTACAGTAAAGTGACTGCATATTTGTAGTCAAATGTGGCAGCCAAATTGCACATAGCAATATCCCACAAACAGTCATGAAGTTTATGACCAATTGTATCTGGGGGATTGTTGGCCAGGGCACTGGGAGAAACTCCCTTCTCTTTTTGACTAGTGCCATGGGATTTTTAACGTCCACCTGAACTGGCAGACAGGACCTCAGTTTAACATCTCATCTGAAGAACAGCATCTCTGGCAGTACAGCACTCCCCCCAGCAGTGGATTGAACTATCAACTTAGACTGCTGCATGAGCTCAAAGGCAATGTCCTGGCAATGTCAAATATACCAGCTAAATTGACTGCATTGAAGTTAGTAATAAAACCAGTTTCAAAATGTGTAACCATCTATACAAACATTGTGTAACCATGGTAATTTTATAATTGTGAAAACACCATATCACTGCACAGTTCAATGGACCACACACAGCAGACAAATTCAAAAAAGACATTAAGTTTGTTAACATTTATTTACTATATACTTCAACATAATGTGCAGATTGAATGCCCAATTTTTTTTAATTCAATATGAGTTAACAGTCTGACCGCTCAAAATTTTGCCAGGTCGAGGTCAGTTCTCAGACCAAAGTGCCTGCGAGGTATAGCTCATGGCAGTAACAATGATTTATTGACTTTTCTTTTGCAAAACAGGACAGTTATTAAGGAACTGTGGTAATGTGCAGTGCAAAAGACAAATGTACAATGCCTCATGTTACAGTCAATGGGAAGCATCAATGAAAACAAATTTGGGCTTATATATTTACACATGTTCAAGGTAATGTCGTTTTATACTTCATTGTTGTTTTGCAGAGAGATAACTGCCAAGATAACTTATTAACTGCTTCAATTTAAAAGGCATCACAGAATGAAAATAGGAGTATTCAGAAATTTCCATAACTACATCAGTGGCATTGCAACAATATAATAATCATAAAGACAATACACATGGTGGTTTAACTCATTCGCTACAAGATCGTTTCCAGCAGCATTTGAACTGGAATCACTGATATTACAAAGAAATATTGTTGCTACTGAACAACAGTGAGTGCAGTCCACTTAAGTGAATTTACTTAAGTAATAAAACCAGCTTTAAAAAAGCCAGCAAATAAGTTTCCTAATGAAGCACTTCATCAGTTATCTTAAATACTTCTGTAAAAAGAATCAGCTTTGAGCAGCAGCACAAAACTGCATGTAAAAAGCAGCTTTGTAACAGTTAAACAAAAGTAGGTCCATATTTTCTGCAAGTTGCGTTTTGTATGAAATCAGAAACTTTCCACCGGCCACTTCTCCCCCCAAAGCCACTTCCTGCTTCAAAAATCACAGAACTCAAAATAGAAACTTTTGAAATTATCAGAATTTCTCTCAAATTAACTTCAGAGGTGAGATACCTATTAAAAAAGTACAAAATAATCTATTAAATGACTATTGAAATCGAAGAATTAAAACTGATTTATAGTAAAAGCGTTTGCTATGAAAAATACGCCCTCATCCTAGACAGGGTTATTAACATTAAAAAAGCCTTGATTAGGTTAAATTAATCTTTCTCTAGATTTCCACCCTCAAGAATAATTCGTACACATTGTATACGGTCAATAACATGAAATGGATATGTTGCACATAGCTAATAAATTAGCATTGTATTTCTGATACAGTATTATCTTTCATGAGCTTGCAATCATGGTAGATATACCCAGATACTTATTACTGAACCTTGATGGTTGACCAACAACCACACAACAGATTAAGCCAGTATTTTGCTCTGATGTAAATCACCAGAGGAGGATGGGGAAACAGAAAAAACAGCCACTTCCCCTTCTCAACTACACTTTTATACATCCTTGATGACAGACAATATTTACACCACAGTACTACACATAGCAAGTATATGTTCAACATCCTGGTATTCCATATCCCCATGAATTGTGAGGTTTTGTAAATATCACATTAACTTTATCCACTCAAATTAGTGTTTAATGTGTGCACTCTCGTAATGCAAAAGTTTTGTTCCTTTAGCTCAGAGGATGTTTTCCAATTTGATATGGGATCTCAAATTATGCCAAAACGGAGGAGTTAACACATCTCAATATTATAGTCAAAGGTTAAGGTAATTGAGGTGACTAATCCAACTAACTTGTACTAGAAATACTGTTTGCAACTGGGCCACTAGGGTGACGTATCCAACCATCTCCTGGTAGAGGGGTATTAGAAGGGAGAAAAAAAGAGCTCTCCATACAACTCAATGAAAGCAAAATTCCAACTTCCAATCCAAAGGGAAATTGGAAATTATAACACACATTTCCATTTTACTGGCAGGATGGCATAGTTGCTGGGTGCCCGTGAAAGAGCCTCGTAAAAAGGCGAGTGCAATTTTTGCAAAGTATACATGGACCAAGGGAAAATATGCCTAACGATTGCTCACACTGAAAGAAGTAACTGGTCTGTTTACCCTTATCCATAAGCTGACATTTTCTTCTGCTTTTTAATTTTTATACACAAAACTCAAATCAAACAGGAAGAGTTCATACATATTTCCTTTTTTTTACATTATTAAGGTGCTATTTGAACACATTAAACTGGATCAGCAGGTAAATGCTTTGCTGTCCCTAAAGGTTAAGAGGAGATGCAGTAAATACATCTGTTCCCTGTGACATTTACCTACTGAGACAGGCAGTATTCCAACAATAGGAATGGGTTTAGTTAGTTTGGTCCTTGTGCGATTTTGCAATATGTACAGATGAAGGAGACTGTCCAACCCATTCAGACAAAACACCATCTTTGAAGATGAGATTCTTGGCTGGAAGTGGAACTCCTGCATCAGGTGGTGGCTGGTTAAGTAATGTAGCAACACCACTGTCAGAGTCTCCAGGGTCCTGGACACACAAAACAAAGTATGAGAAAAGCTTTTCAAAAGATAACCTTTCAAAGAAAATGTAAGCCTTATAAGCACACAACATTGTGCTCACTACTTTCAGGACATATATTTTATCTGGATTCCAGCTCATTTTTGAATTTGAGTCAAATGTATATTTAACTGGTTTCCTCCAAGTGTGAAATGGGCACCTATTACAATGCACAATGGACAGCTCAATGTGTCACTAAGCATTGCTTTTTTTCCCCAATCAAAACCAAAATGACTGAATAGAATAATGCATGGATGAGAATTGCTCCTCACTACCAAAACTTGCATTTATGTAGCACCTTTCACACTACTGTCTCAAGAGTGCTGAACAAAGCCAGGGTGTTACACCCAACTAGAAAGAAAGGGCAAATGACTATAGGCACAACAGAAGAAGTCTTCAGGTGAGATTTGATGGGTAAAGAGGGATCGAGGCGGAGGGATTGAGGCAGGGAGTTCCAGCCGTTGAATGCACACTCGCTAATGGTGGAACGAGGGGACAGGGGAGGCAGAGATGGCCCAAGCCAAGCAAAGGGGCAGTGAGAGGAGTAAAGTGTGTGCAAATGAGAGAGGCAGGGAAGTACTAGCACACAAAGTGATTTATAGTCGAGTGTGAGGATCTTGAAATCGATCCGTTCTATGACAGGAATCTGGCAAGGACTGGGGTGATGGGAGTGAGGAGTTTGGTATGTGTGAGGATAAAGTAGTAGAGTTCTGAATCAGTTGGCTTTGTGAATGGTGGAGCTGGGTAGAGACCATTTCCTTTCATACCACCATGCCTTCTTGTAAGTCATGCAAATTAAAATGGAACTTTGCTCAAACTGAAAAATTTTTAATGGAACAATTTGTTTTCCTATTGAATCTGAAATTGGACAATGGTTTTCTGACAGAGCAAACATAGGGCTGTTCAATTGGTTAAAAACACTTACCAACTATTAAATACAATTATTGAATGGATAGGTGTCATAAAGCATGTTACTTGGGTTATTTGACAAGGTTTACTCAGTGCATAAATATGGTATCATTCGCTAGCTATATTCCTTAAATGGAAAAATTTTGCCAAAGTTCTTAAATTTAAATGAAACACAAAAGTATTGGAGTCACCAACACCACAAACCTGGAATGACTGTACGAAGTTGAGGACCTGAAGAGACAGTTTGCGACTGGAATGCAAGAGTTTCTGAAGGCTGCAGAGAACATAGTGTGCAACTCAATTATACACAACAAAAAAATTAATTCACAATTATTCAACTATGCTCATTAAAGACATAAATTGGCAACAGAAGTAAAAAATACTTGATTCTGGTTTGAAACAAAAAAAATTGAGACATTTAACAAAACTGATGGGTTTTATCTTAAATTAATTAAGTACTACTCCCAGCAGAATAACACTTCTGAGCTTCAAGTATTACATTTGCAGTGGCACAAAATCATCGCTGTATTCACCTGAGCAGTTTNAACCTTTTTTTTATTAAAAAAGAGAATGACCTGCTTCACTAATCATATTAACTTTGCAAATTCTCTCCCTACACTTTCAGGGCAATATTGCAGTGTCTGGAAAGGAAGAAAGTTACAGGAATCCATACTTGAGCTGTTGAATGCAAGCATGAGACAACTAAAGGACACCAGCTGGTTGCACTGTGGGATTAGTTTGCACTGTCACTCAAATTAGGGAATGAAAATTGAGGACTTCTAAGAGAGAGATACAATTTTTACTCATCACCAGGGTTAATAGTATAGATTATTTTCAAACAGTGAGTGAGAGTTGTTCATAACCATCTATTATACGTCATATGCAACTACTCTTGGGAAAATAGGTCTGTAATATCTTAAACTCAATGAAAAGATTGGGTATTGTAAAACCCTTTCATTATTTCTCAATTGCATCATTAAGATAATTTAATTGTCTCTATATTCAAGTTTATACATTGGGCAAATAAAAGGTGGTTGAAAAAAAATGGCACCACAAAATACTTGGCGGCTATTATTTGCAAATTGACAGCTTCCAAAGGGACAGCAATAAACATACCTGAGACACTCAAAGTAACTCATCTAGGCAGCAGTTTTTTTAAAGCAATAAATTCTCAGCATTTTGCAGTTTTAAATCCTAACCGTTTGTGTTCAATATGTACACAGATTTATAAAGCAAATAAACTTCTGAATCCAAAAAAGAAAAAAATCTGCATGTTTGCCACAATATGTACCTCTCCTTGCCACACAATCCATGTGTGGCAATTTTCTGACAAACAGTCTGGTTGAGTTCTGAAACAAACAGGGGGATCCCGAAGCACAGCTCCAGGGGCATCCATTCATGTTCTCTTGTTGAGACTGTAGAACAACACATTTTACATTTATATAGGGTCCTTCACACAGGACAATGTCTGAAAAGCTTTACAGAGGCAGCATTGGAGACCAAACAAAGTAGGAAACAGGTGGGATAGAAAGGATATGACCAAAGTCAGTCAAAGAGTTAGGTTTTTAAAAAGATTTTAATGCAGAAGGACTGGTGTAAGGAATAGTAATTTGTCTGGTCGTTCCAGACTGACAAGACAAAGTGGCCAATGAAACACCCACCAAACACCAGGACGTGCAGGACGCTAGACCTAGAGCAGAGAGTGGGTGGAAGAGTAGGATTGCTGCATGAGATCACAGCGATGGGGGCGGCGGGGGGGGGGGGGGGGGTGGGGGCGAAGGGGAGGAGGGAGGGAGAGGGATTAGAGAGAGGAGGCATTTGAAAATTAAGAGTGAGGATCTTGAAATCCATCATCTGCTTTCACTGTCAATGTTCACACATGCACTTGGTAGCACTAGGATGAATACATTCATAAATAAAATGAAGATGGCACTAAATTCAACATACTGAGTATATTTTTCCCAAATATTCTCTGCTGCTCTCAAGACAGTGACGATTGTTGGGATATAATAATCCTTATAGTTCCACAGGCAGCTCGTCCAAATGGCCACTCTAGTGTATGATTATTAGCAATGAATAAGGCAAGTTATTTTTTCCCAGGAGGAATTGCATACATTTGCATTTTACAGTAAAATGAGTGTGGAGGGGGAAAGAGAGAAGGAATCACAGGATATTAACCAACATGGCTGATTTTTGTATCCATAAACCCACAAACACAAAAGTAAATTGCAATGTTTCCACACATCTTAAGACCAGGTCATTCAACACAGACCAGCGATCAAATATGGGACTTTCCTGGTCTGCAATAGTTAAGTACCAAATGTTGTCATTATAGCATCTGTATCATGTACAATAACAATTTGAAAATATTAAATAACAATTGCATTTACCTTCAGTAATTCTATTGGAAACTGTATCTGCCACAGGTTCATCTGCCACCAACTCGAATGATTCTGTACTGCCCTGAGCATCAGATCCAGATGGGGAATCTGATTCGCCTGCAAATCCATATTATAATATATTTGAGACTTAAACAGCTTGCAGTGGAATAAGAATCTCAATGATTATGTAGTTGAGCAAAGCAGATACAGTGCACTTGGGAGAATAGGTCTGTAATATCTTAAACTCAATTTAAGCAAACTTGAACAATTTAAAATCCTGTCAACAATCAATTGGAGCAGTATCCGACCAGCCAAGAAAGGTGAGAATAACATTGAGTGGAAGGTTGTATCCTTTAGGTTTAATCCCAAGAACAGTGCTACATAAGAAATCAGATGGACAATTGTTCTATACTCACATCTATTGCATCTTCTGGTGATTACAATGCATATTCATGTTATACAGAAAAATTGAGGATCTCATGGCTACACCACAATTTTTACTCAACTTCAGTCCATTATCCCATATTACACATCTTAGATGGTTATTTTAACATTAATAAAAGGGTCGATTCCACTGGTTGGCGAGTTTAATATTTTAAGTAAATAGAGCAATCCCTTGGTGATAGGGCTCAAATTGTGTAAAATCACAAGAAGCTCACTCAGTTTACACAAAAAACCTCAAGAAAGTTTCCCAATCAGAACCATGACTTTTTTTTAATATAACAGATTATGACACAAAGCTCATAGAATGATTTGATGCCATTTTGATTTTTTTTCTAGCAGTGAGTGTTGTGACTGAAGGCAGCAGCCAGTGCATGCCACTGACAACAACAACTTGCATTTTTTTAGCGTCCTTCACACAGGGTAGCATCTCGGAGCACTTATGTTGAGCGTGGTCTCTCCCTCAGACTCACCAAACCCATGCGCAACTATGGTGTCAGGTTCGATCCCCAGCTGGACTATTCCAATGCCCTCCTTGTTGGTCTCCCCAGCTTCACCATACACAAAATCTAATTAATTCAAAACTCCACTACCCGGATACTTACCCGCAAAAAAACCCTTATCCCCATCACACCAGTCCTTACCAGGCTCCACTGGCTCCCAATTACTGAACAGATGGATTTCAAGATCCTCTCACTTATTTTCAAATCCCTTCATGCCCTCGCATGTCCCTACCTATCCGATCTGCTTACCCCCCCCCTCCACCACCCACTGCCTCCGCCCTCGTGTGTGCCTTTCGTGCCCTCCATTCCACCATCAGTGGCCATGCCTTCAGCCACTACATCCCATATCTTTAGAACTCTCTGTTGTCGCAGGAGCCTGACACGAAGCAGGAGAGAGGTGAACGTTAGCACAGTCAAAGAAGATCTTTAAGGCTTTGAAAAGGGGAAAGGAGGGACAGGTGGAGAGTTTGAGGGAGAAGGTTCCAAAGTTTGGGGCATAGTGGCTGAAAACATGGTCATTGATGGTAGAGCGGAAGGGATAAGGGACAAGTACAAGGCCTGAGATAGCCGAGTGGAGTCGGTAGGTGATGCAGTGAGGAGTAAACAGGTCCAATCCGTTATGCGATAGGGAGCTAGTGGACCCTGTCTAGGTCTGGCTTGATGGTGTGGGGGATAAAGTTTAGAGTGAGTAAGTATATCGGGAGTGGAGTTCTGAATTAGTTGGATACGTGACGTTCACAATGGTTGCAGTCAGCAATGTTCAGTTGATAAAAGGTTTGCACCTCCAGCTCGGATGCAAACCCTTAACTGTCCAGTGCCTTGAAATAACCTTCCGATATGAAAAGCACTAAACAAATGTAATTTTGTTGATTATTGGAACCCAATGGCTTTTCATAAGTTCATGTTGTTTATTGCAACATTATAAAACTTTAAATAGATCAAACCATTTTGAAGTAGTCAATGATTGGGAAAAAAAAGAGAAACAGATTACTAAAATAAGTTTATGATCCAGTGCACTTTTTAATGTATTGTGCTAGCCTTGGCATACCTTTCTCATCTGACTCAGCGTTCAAACACCTGTCATTAGTATGTTGAACACGATGATTGAGCATTGTCACGTATCCACAAAAATGGTCCAAATCCACTTTCTCACTCAACACTTTCAAAGACTGGTGAGCACACATGTTGCTGCGTGAAAATTCTAGAGCAAACCCAAGACAATAAAACAGACATTCAGCTATCGCTTTCATTTTTCAAAAACACTAACTTTCCTTTTGAGATGATACATAACAATGGCAACATGAATAATTCTATTTATAGAAATGTAGATAATGGTACATGGTACTATGCCAAAAAACCTTTAACAATTATCAGTGTGGTTATTCTCAACCTGTCAGTAAATGTGGTATAGGTCACTACGACAAATCCCATTTCAATCGCAGAGGACCAAGGTCAGTCAATTTACAAGTGCAGAATATATATACACATAAAAGCAAGCACAAATTTTTTAAAGTTAAATTATTTCCCCTCCGCCCCCCCGCGTAATTTACATTGCAAAAATGATACAAACAAGATAAATGACAGTGAAGCAATATTATGCATACATCTAGCTAAATGTGCATAAAATACTGTAGCTACACAACACTAAATTGAATGTGACCACTAAAGGACCTTGATAATGGCAAAGTGGGAATGCACATGTAGATTTCAGTGCATTTTAAACAGGGTTGTGCATCTACAATGAATCTTAACAAGAGGACTTGATCAGAGATGTTAAAAGAGATCTATTCTAATGTTGCTATAATAAAGACAAAGGCGAAAAAAAAATGAATTTCCGACCTCCTTTCATCTGTTGCTCATCAAAGGGAAATGGAACATGAACTGTTTCACCATGACCATGGATGCCATAACCCTACAAACATCAGCAATGAAGTGCTAATTAATGAACACTGCACTTAACACAAAATGACAGATAATTAGACCTGCAGAAGCAGTTGTATTTTAATAAAGTTACATACAAACCATACTTCAAGTATTATTGAATCCAAATTACTGTAATATTTGTAATTGTTCATATAAAAATTATAAAGAATTCAAAGTTACAAAAAGGTACAAATCAAGAAACATCATTTCTTAATGAACTACAATTTCTCCTCAATAATAGAGAGGTATCTCATCTTTCTCTTAGTTATTAATGGGTCAATCTGGCCTTGGAAACAATCTGGTACAAATAGCTAATTGTACACTTTCAGGAATCCAGGCAAACTTTGGAAAGCCTTCATCCCCAACAGTAACAAATCATTGTGAGTAAATATCTACCAGCAGTTACATCAGAATCTTGTGAGAAATTGGATGGGTAGGCTAGGTGGGCCAATGGTCTGTCTACTCCTTCCTGAAATTGTCATTTATGTTGTTCTAACAAGAACAAGATTGCATTTATAGAGCGCCTTTCACGTCGGGAGGACTTCCCAAGGCACTGGACAGTTGGGTCGGGACCCGAGCAGTGGGGAAATGGTCAGGGTGAGGGGAGGGAAAGGAGGGAGCGAGGAGGGGGTAGAGAGTCGAGAGGGGAGCTGAAGGCACGGTTGAACAGAAAGGTCTTGAGACCGGCCTTGAAGGAGGAAAGGGACAACTCTGAACGTATGATTGATTGGCCGGAAATATATTTATCATTCAAACGCAAAACATGTTCCAGTATTTTACATGAGTATCTGAGGTCATAGGCTTTAGGAGAAATTTACACTAGTGGAAGTTAAAGGCAATTGTGAGTTAGTTACCTGTATTAATACAGCTGAGTGTGTCAGTGCATCGTTCAACATGCTGAGCACATTTGAGGTAGGAACAACACCAGGATCATGTCCCCAAGAGGTTATAAGCAATCGATCAAAGTTCTTAAAATAAGATGGTAAGGAGAAGGACAATTTTATAAATAACAATAATGAGTATACAGCATGGATAATAAGAACAAGAATATACAGCAAGTAATATTTTTAGGTAATACCTGAAAAACAACAGGAAGTTTTCTAAGTCTTGATCCCTTTGAAAGTAATAGTGAAGGAGGTCCTCGTCGGGTGATGTGGTACATGTAAAGTTTGAACCAAATTGAACTGACTTCCGGAATTGCTGGTCCTATATGCTAATTGTTTCCCAAAGTAAACAAAATGTTAAGTCAGGAGAAGGATTCATTAGGATTTTACTGAAAAGACCAAATAAACCAGATTACTTCTGTTGCTCATCATACCAAGGTTAAACCTGTCTGTATAAAATATCCAGGACCAAATCTTGGTCATTTAATTTCAAGCCCAATTAATTTAGATGCACCAATACAAAGTGAGATAAAATCTACAATTCTGATTAGCAACAGAAAATTCCTGTTAAAAGATAAAATTAAGAACTAGCAAAATAGAACAAAAGAAGCCGGGAGGGTGGGGGAGAACGGGACTGACTGAATATTAACTACTGTGGACACTTATTTAAAAGACAAGGCAAGCTTGCATTAAACCTAAATATATTAAATGTATTCAAATATTTGAAGCACAGGGCAACATAATCCTAATAAATCCCTGCATTTGATACAACATCCTTTATGTCAGGGAAACAGGAGAACTTTTCAAAATACTTCACAGGATTTACTGTAAAGTGTGTATTTTGTACATGAACTTATTGGAAAGTGCTCTAGTTGTTTGTATGTTTGCTTAGTGCACAGGTCTATTGTGGATCTATGGTACACCTGGCTTCTGGCACTGATGAGCCAGCTTCCTACATTAAACAAATGGCTGTCATTGATGTCAATTTCTGATGTTGCACACGCAAAGTGACATCAACAGTGCTTCATGTACATAGAGCATATGATCTAAAAGGGGCATTTGTGTTGTTTCTTGCGTGCAGAACATACATAGCAAGTGAGGTCAGCAGTAACCTTAGAACCATGTTTTTATGATTTGTTTTAATGTGGGGGTTGAACTTATGGACCCAGTGTACCGTGTTATAAGAAGTGTGTCCTGTATATGAGCATGAAAGGGCCAAGCAGAAACTGCAAATACTTATCAGTGACACATATAGCTGAAGCCTTGTCCTTTGCAAGTGCTTCCATTACCTGTGGTGTACAGCTGCTTATTGGTCGAATTTCATTGCTAAGAGGTGCCATCGAGACCAAGAGAGTGTAATTCTTGTTCAGCACTCTGCTGCAAGTAGCCGGATCCAACCCCAGCAAGCTCTCACAGCGCAACAGATCTAGTGGAAAACCTAAAGCAAAATAAGTTTGTTAGAAATCAAAATACAGCTTCAGAAATACCCTATCTTAATAAACCATGTCGAGGAGGTCATTTTCTATTACTAACTAAAGGTAAAAGATTTTCAGCAGCACACACTCCAAAATCAAATGCATTTGGTTCCATTTCTAGTGGACAGTTTGCTTTTTACTTCTTCTTACTCTTCTTACTTCTTTTCTATCCTGAAGGCATAATTTTACCTTCCACCGAAGCCTGTTCAGAGGTTTACTATTCGCTCACTGAAATAGTGTTTCCTTAGATTCATTCTGAATTTATCCTTTCAATCGAAAGGCTGTGTCCTCTGGTTTTACTATTCTGGACTAGTTGAAACAACTTGTCATGATCTACATTGTCTAGCCTTAATTTGTAATATTTACATTAGAAGAAGTTTATGGTTTTTATTTTTTACTAAAGCAAGCATTAATTACACACGGAACTGTCTTCCTGGGACCCATTCTTAGTATTGCAATGATTATCCACTGCTAATTAAAAAAGGCGATAGACACAAATAAATACATCTACCAACAAGTACATCAATATCAATGACCTGGAACACAAGGTTAGTCTTCAATGATTTGTTTTAACCGCAACTAGTGTGCTAGGCTAAAACATTTAAGCTTTTGAACCATTTAATTTAAAATTCAGTATAAAACCTACCGTTGTTTGGCTGCTCAGCATCTGCAACTAGTTCCTTATTGTGTCGTAGGAAAAGTATTGTGTTTCTCAAAGTAAGCGCATGGTCAAAATACCTCTGGGCTTCTCCCTCACCAGTGTTCTGTACCTTAAATGCAAAGCAGCCCGATTACTCATATTCATAAACTGCATATAGTAACATAATATGTAACAGATGGAGTGAAATTACAACTTTTTTGAAAAAAGGTTAGCAAGCACCTTGTGATCGCATCATGAAAGTTAGGATCATTAAATCAGTACAACACACAATACAAAATTACATTTGTAAAGCGCCTTTCACATCGGGAGGACGTCCCAAGGTGCTGAACAGTAAGGGATCAGGAACCAAGTGGGGGGGTGGTGGGAGCAGGAAGGGTGGAGAGCGGGGGAGGCAGGAGGGTGGTCGAGGTGTGCCTTGAGGAAGGCAAGGGAGGGAGCGAGACAAAGGGAATGTGGGATTGAGTTCCAGTGAGTGGGGGCAGAGGCTGAAGGCCCGACCGCCGATGGTGGGGCGGGCCGGGCAGGGGGACATGGAGCAGGCCTGAGCTTGCTGAGCATGAGCAGAGGGAGCAGACAGGTTAATAAGAGATTAACAGGTCGGAGAGATAGGAGGGGGCAAGGCCATCGAGGGCCTTGAGGGTGAGGACAAGAATTTTTAACTCAATTCTCAGTGGAGCCAGGAGAGGGTGGGGGTGATGGGGTCACGGAGCCTGGTGCGGGAAAGCACAGTTCTGGATGAGTTGCAGCTTGTGGAGGGAAGAGTCGGGAAGACCGACAAGCGGAGGTGGGGGAAGGCAAAGCGAGTTATGGCACGGATGTGGGGGAGAAAGGACAGTTGAGGGTTGAACAAGATGCCTAGGTTCCTGACTGGCCTGGTGAAGAGGTGTGTGCAACCGTGGATGGATGCACATCATATTACATTGGAGTTTAATTTGTAATATTACAATAGGATTTACTTAAACATCCACAGGTACTCAAATACAGCTCAGGCTGACCCTCTGGAACACTGCTCAGAAGCTGATATCCTGCCGAGCATTACGATCATCCTTCAATCACAATCTGGACTCATGCGAGTAGAAGGTATCTAAACAGTTTCAGAGTGGAGGATTGAGCCAAATTGGGATATATGCAACATTCACTGATTACCAATCTTTTTGTGAATACTGTAAACTAGACCTTAATAGCACATTTCTTCTTAAGTTTAGGTGCCTCAGTAAAAGAAAACTTTTATAATCCTATTCAACAACCACAAAATTACATTTATATAGCGCTTTGCATGTCAGGAGGACGTTCCGAGGCTCTGCTATTCAGTTCATAGGACTTACAGAACCTGAACCTTTTTCTGACTGACACCATTCTTGGCAAATATTTTTTTTAAGTGAACCACTAAACTAAAAATAATGCATTGTAATCGCGAGAGGAACATCTCATTGTGCAGTGATGCATCAAATGCTTTTAAAAACAAGTTACTCTATATTCTCCAAAATGACCTACTTTTTCAAGTTCCACCAGAAAACTGTCCAGGGACTCATCTGATAACTTCCCTACTTCAAACATGGTGACTGCATGGCTCTTCAGATTCTACACAAACAATGAAAGCAGATTATTACTCACACATAGGTAACAAACTATTCACATCCTTGTAGCAATGTTTACAAAAGTTCGACTACAAAATTAGTATAAATTGTACATTGTCATGGCTTACTAGTTTGGTGACAAACAGCTTGTCCTACTATGTAGCTCTGCCATAATCCTTCATGTTGATATTTCATACAACATTTAAGCACTACTCCCATAGAAATAGTGTAAATTTTGGTCTTTTTGCACAAGACAAGGCAACTCTGATATTTCAGTGCAAATAACTATTACACAAGAGGACTGCTCAGTAAAATTTACATTGGGAAAGGAAGGTCTGAGCATACTTTACCGGTGAAAGGTTTCCCATCATTAAGAAAGCCGTGAGGGTTGAATCAAACAGGAATGCAATTCGCTTTGTGTGTCCACTGGGCGTGCTGAGACTGCTCACGCTCACAGAGTCAGCTACAAATAAATCATAAAATTTAGTCAAATAAAATTGGCCACTCAGTTCATGGCTGTTTATGGGACATTGCTGTACACAACTGGCTGTCATGATTCGCCCACAAAATATACAGTCACTCCACAGTCAATGCTGTGAAGCGGTTTGGGACGTCCCACTGACATGAAAGACACTATACCAAATGAAAATATTACTATAATTATCCTGTAAACGCACAAGTGCCGAGTAAATTATACACAATGGTCTGAAAAATTTAATTAGATTGTGAACTTTTCTTCACACCAAAGTAAATCATTTCAAAGTTTGAAATACCCAAAAGATTTATTTTTAAAAATAAAATTTTGCTGCGAAAAGGAACAGCTAAGTGTGCACTTTGGTGCAAGTGGAATGCAGAGCTTCTTTAGCCTCAACTGACTTTTTTTTAAAAAGAAATGCCAATCACAATTCAAATAAATTCTCTGCAAGACATTTACACGATCAAAAGCATTTAAGATTTTCAAATAAACAAAGCCCAACTACATGCTCACCCACATCCTCCTGACTGGCAGTATCAGTGTCTGTTGCTGAAGATGCAACATCCTGCACAGGACTTCTGTTTTCCATCCCTTCCCATGACAACAGCATCTTCTCGGGGTCCATGGAGCACCTGCATGAAGTAGCAAACACTCATCAAATTACCATTAGGGGCAATACATTGAGCAGAAATTTAAGGTTAATTTTGCTTTGTACAAAGACCATTTATTCAATTTAAAAACAAAAAAACTGCAGAAATTCCCTGGCTTACAAGCAGACCATTATATCTCAACACAAAATGAAAGTGGCAATAATTAGAACATGTTTCTATGCTTGAAGTGATGATTTTATGAGCAACATGCAATGGAAGCAATTATCAAAGTTACTGCTCTCGCAATAAAGCAAGTAATTTAAGGTGAATCTTATTTATCTCATATGTTTGAGCCTTACACAGAGCCTCTTTTCCTAGGTCAAAGTGCATTTTTAAAAATGCCATTTTAGGGATCATTTTAAGCAGGACATGGACAAGCTCGCACAAAATACACAATATAATCTAATCTGCTGAGAGCCACAAGTTTAATTTCTCAATTTTGTTTTATTTCTCCAGCAAAACAAATTTATTTAGCACATTTGATTTTTCTTTTGTACAAGCAAAACTAGTAATATAATTTTATCCTCAATTTTTTATATAAATCACCTTAATGAACTAAGTTGATAAACAGGAATCCATGTGTTACTTAAGTAAGCCCCAAACACATCTGTGTCAGTTCATGTACAAACCAAACTAGATTTCCACTTGTAAAATGTGCACTTTCTCTTATTTACCATCTTCATAGGAAAACAATCTTCAAAATCTATATATAGTTTAATGTATTTTCATTAGGTTTTAACCTTACTTTAATCTATTGACTGATGCGACATCCTTCCACGTTGGGTGAAGCTGCTCTGCATTGATCACTTGTCCCTTCTTGTGTGCAAAACCCAGACGACAGTACACTGACACTGCATTCTGAAGAGAAAATGAACATGTTCAGCTTTTGTCTGGTAACAACACTTTTAGGAATACGTAAATTATAAGAGAAATTTCTTTCTCCAACAAATAATCTTTCCAATAATTCTGCCACTATAATTAAACGGTATTGCTATGCAGTTTCACATACAAGGTCAGATTTTTTTAAAAATTGCAATAAACATGCTAGGGTTATAATAGAATCCAACTTTATTTGCAATAAAGGCATGCAGAATACTGCATTAAAGTGTAATTTAGATGTACTGTCTTTATTTGGAAACCAATACGCCACAGTTGCCTATAATAGTTTTTGATATTTTTACCAAAAATGAAAAGATAGTAAAGCATTTTATTGCATTAAATCAAAGGTAATAACCCCCATCTAGATTTACAATCACATAACCAAAAAAGGTACCATATCCTAGCTTCTGTATCTGTGAAAAAAATTCTCATAACCACCCCCCTCCACCCCATTTGCTAATTATCTTAAATTGATGTTCTCTCATCAATAACTCACCAACCAATGGAAGCAATTACTCCTTATTGACTATCAAAACCCCTTATAATTTTTAAAAACTTCCATCAGGTTAGCCCTCAATCAAATTGACAACTTTATAGAGATGTTAGATATCCCCAACGTATCTGTTCTCAAATCTTAGATTTCACATACCTTTACAAGTGATAGATCTATTTCAAGCACGTTTGCCAACTAGAATATAAAATATTAAAAAAAGTTGCAATCACAGTAACACATAGAATTCAACTGTTCAAAGCTTAATACATCATGAAGTGGTATTGATGTTGGTGTTTCATCCACAATGAGATTATAGATATGGGGAAGACTTTGTTGGCCAGGGAACTGTTGTCTTGGAGGGCGATGCGGAGGAGACATGCGCGGAGGTGTTTGCATGATGGGGGAAGGGGGGAGAAGGGCAAAGGAATGTCAGGAAATGTGGGGATGGGAATGAAGTTTTTTTTAAGAAAATACTAGAAAATCGGACTCTTCTCCCTACCTCTGCAACATTCGTATGTTCATCAATAGAGACAAAAATCTTGTAGAGAAGAGTTTCAAAATAATCACCTTGCAATCGATTCATCACAAATCCCTCCAATGGTGGAACTAAATATGGGAGATATGGTGCAAGGAAAGACCATCAGAAAAGACTTTCTAGTACATATGGTGCTAATATGCCAAGTACTAATACGAGAGTAACTGATACCCACAGAACCTAACGGAAAATAAACTAATTTCAAGGCCTCCAGGAGTAGAGGAGAGAAAATTGAAAGAAGAATACCTGCTCACCTGCTATGCAGCTGTCATCAGATATCGGCACATCAAGGTAAACAAAACCTTTATTATACAAACCTGCGATAGAATGGACAAAAAAATGCATGGTTTAGCACAGTGGTTCACATGATTGGATAGAAGATTATTTAATTCAAGCAGCATGGAGAGACTGTATTAAAAGATACTCTGTTAGAGGTTGTCATTACTCAACACAAAACCCTCAATATTTTTAAGAAACTGAATTCTCTTACAAACCTTACAAAAGTATCTCGATTCATAGCAAACTTCTCAAATCTTATATCACCCAGGTTGTCAGATTATTCAGGTGGACATAAAATTTTCCATGAAAAAAAGGGCATTTCTCCAGATGTCATGGCCACCAGTCTCCCAAATTAATTGGTCATTCAGCCAAACAGTTCCAAAATGATGTCAGTATAAAAATGCATGTTCTTTCTTTCAATTTTAAAAAGCTCACTTTCGTAAATATCCTACTATGAAAGGTGTGTTTTACAGCAGATAAAGCATGGTTTGATTTCATTTTGTTTGTCAGCTAAAATTCAAGAATTTATCAAACTAGACTAACAAAATGACTGGCTTGTTTTTATGACTATATTATAGGATCTCGGGGATATTGTTGAAAATTAATTAATATATGGAGCAATAAATCTATGAAGTATCCAAGACAGTATGCATTCAGTCATGCTGCTTACATTCTTTCATCTCTGGTGAGCTCAGTATGTGTGAATCCTACCTAAACTGAATCCTAACTAAACACCTAATGTTTATATGTAAGGATGCTATTCTCATGTCTTAATCGAGTTCCTAATTGATCCAGTACAGAACATCTCAATTCATAGCAAACTTACAAATCTTCCTCCAAGGTCATTCTTCCTCTTTGATCGTGCTTTCGGTCATTGTCTCACCCCCACCCTTTTGCCCTCCACCCCTGTTGTTTCCAACCATTGGCTCTGGTGCAAACCTTTCACTATCCAGTGCCTTGAGATTTCCTCCCAACGTGAAAGGCACTATCTATATGCAATTTGTTGTTGTATCTCCCAGCTTGTCTGATTATTCAGGTGGACATTAAATATTCCATGAAAAGAGGATAGAGGAAGGTCTTCAGACGGGACTTGAAGGAGGCAAGAGAGGCAGTGAGGCAGAGGGATTGCGGGATGGAGTTCCAGAGTGTGGGGGCAGAGGAAGTGCGGGGAACCTGAGGAAGGCCGGTGTCCGCTCAAATGTCCCAAATGACCTGGAAAAATATCCACCTTTCATAGAATATTTACATATATATTTATATATAACATCCACTTGAATAATCAGATAAGCTGGGAGATACAACAACAAATTGCATTTAGATAGCAATTAGGAACTCGGGAGTGGACAGGCTGATATGGGGTTATGAGGTCGGAGAGATAGGGGGAGCAAGACCGTGCAGGGCCTTGAAGGTAAGAACCAGGGTTTTGTACTCGATTCTCTGAGGAATGGGGAGCCAGTGAAGCCGGGCAAGAACAGGAGTGATAGGTTCCCGGGGCCTGGTGTGGGAGAGGACCCGAGCTGCAGAATTCTGAATAATCTGCAGTTTGTGGAGGGAAGAGTTGGGAAGGCCACTGAGTTGGCGTAGTCAAACCAGGACATAATGAAAGCGTGAATCAGGGTCTTGGCGGCCTGCAGTGAGAGGCAGTGGCAGAGGTGGGCAACATTGCAGAGACAGTGAGGAGACAGTGCGGGAGGTAGAGGAGAAGTCGTTGGTGGCCACGAAGTGCAGACGATGGGAAAGGTAGGATTGGAACCAGGCAAGAACAGAACACTAAGAGCATGGCTGGTGAGCGGTAAATTAAGAGCTGCTTTGCTGAGGTTATAAATCAGACTGATCCGAAAATGAGTTACACTCTGCAACCTGACCCAACCCAACATCTGCACACTGATGTGATGGCAAACTAGATTTCACAGCACAATAACAACAACAACTTGGATTTATATAGCCCCCTCCACGTCCTCTTGTTGAACCCGATTGTTAGTCGACTGGCGGATCACTTTCCAGGGGGTAATAAACCCTTCAAATTAAAAAAAATAATAATTTGGTCACTCAACCCATGACTGCTTGTGGGACATTGCTGTGAGCAATTGGGTGCCGCGTTTCACCCACAAAACACACAGTCACTCCACTTGACAGTATATCTTGTGAAGTGCTTTGAGACCTCTCAACAGCATAATAAAGTGCTATACCAAATGCAAGGATTATTATTATTATTGCAAATACTTAGAGAATAGCAAACAAGTGAATACAAAACAATTTCAGCTAATTGAGGAGAGAAAGTGAAGAAGACAGAACAGAGGGCAATTGAATATTTTTAGCTACAGGATCGGCGGGAAAAAGCCCGAAAGATTTGCACTTTCTGAAAGATTCCTGCTCATGCCCATCATTCACACAGATGCACTGTTATAGTATATACTCACTGAGCACCACATTGTGTTCCAAAAGCCCAGACAGCTGAGGCCCCAAATCAATGATTTTATCAATAGCGATCTTCTCTGGTGTCGAACAGATCTAGAGGTAATAACCCAGCGGGTATTAAAACAAATCAAACTCACAAATAGGTTCTTTCTCTTCTCCCTCCCCCCTCCTGAAAATGGAGATCAGCACCAGATCCTCTTAGCAACCTCATTTCACCTATGTTGCCATTTTCCGTGTGGAACCCTAGAAAGTGAGCATTGATGGGTTATTTGACTAAGGAAGACTAATTGTAGCCAAGTCTTCTCCTGACTTACACAAATGTGCACTCTCCAGCAGACTTTCACATGACAACATTCCCTGGATGACCCCAAGGCATGAAAATGTCACTATTGCAACTGTGATGGAATTAGCTTCCTTAAAAACAGGCGATCGAACCTGGAACCCTCCTGGTCTGCATGAATAGTCAGGGGATTGAACCTGGGACCACTCTGGTCTGCATGGTTTAGTTTCAGACAACTCCTGGCAGACCCATGGGCAGGAAAATGCTGCAGTTGCAGCTCAGCTCACATACAAGATCCAGGACTGAACCTGAAACCTTGCTGGCATGGTTCAGGATCACACAGCGCTGTGGCTTTACCAACTGAGCATGAATTCAATTCAGGTTTAATTGGAAAACAAAGTTTAAAAGGCAAAGCAGTCACAAACTGATCAATAAGTAACGATATTCAGTTGTCAGAAGGAATCAGTTGCAGACACCCTTCAACAAGCACGTCTCATCCAAGTAGAGAAACAACTATGTAAACAATCAGTCTAGTTATTGGTCTGCCTTCTACTGTTAACTTCTCTCCCAAATTTATGCACCCATATTCTATATATGTGACTTTACTTTCAAAATCCAAAGGTCCAGGATTAAAATAATAGATTTAACATTAAAATATAATTTCAATAGAAAAATGTAGGGATTTGTTATCCAAATAAATGATGAAGGGTTAATGTATGAAAATCAACAGCTTTCTTAAAGGATCATTGTTTTCTGCTTGAATGCAGATTCTTAGCATTTAAAAATATTGCAAAGCAAAAGATTTCACAACAAAGCCTCGAGCTTCAGCAATCCCTCCCCCCCCCACAAATTACTGGGAGATGAACCACATCTGACAATGAAATGAACATAATAGGACGAAAGGGCTTCACTCCACCATCACCACAGAGCTATTTGCTGTATGGAGCCCAAGTTGGTCAGTGCTGGGTCCGGGACTATTCCTGGTGGAATTTAGAACTTGGGGTTCAGTGCTCCAGACAATGAATTTAGCAGAAATAATTCATAAATTAAATTTCCCACAGTAATTCCTATTATAGATATTTGATTGCTAAATATCCCCTTTACCTTAATGTCATCCTCTGTAATAAAGCCAGCCTGCACTACCCACCACGGCTCAATAGTAATTTCCACAGGCTTCACTGGGAGTAGGTCACGAGCTGTTTTTCGCCTGAAAAATTTCTGAAACAAAAGTGATATTTTTAGTTTATATCTCTGTGGAACCTATTGTTTTCCTGTCAGTGACAAAGATTACCATCAAGCAAGCTGCTAGGCTATTCATACTTCACTTTCAGTGGCAAATTGAAAAAAGGCAAATGAAAAATACAAGATGAATCTGTGTGAGGTGAGAGTTTGAAGCGAATGGTACCATTTCAAGGTTTCATCATGAAATTCAAACAACAGCTCGTTACTAAAATGAAAAAGCTCCATTGGTGAGTGGAGCTCTGTGTAGGCGCATGATTCAACTCAGATTCAGAGTGATTAGGTGTGAGTTAGTAGAACTCACATTTCTCTCTTATATTCACTGAGACTGGAAAGGATGTTGCATTTCTTTGAACAGCATAAGTCACAACTATGTTCAGTGAAATTCCAGTATAATAATAAATCACATTTGGTATAGCGTCAGGAGGACCTCCCAAAGCACCTCACAGGATAAACTGAAAAGTTGAGTGACTGTGTTTTGTGAGCGAACACGGCAGTGAATTTGCACATACTAAGTTTTACAAAGTTATATACCAGTTTACCAGTTATCTGCTTATTTTCTGCTCATCTAGGTGAGGAATGCTTAATACTGGGAAAATGAATACTTTCTCAGGTTCAGCACTTAATTTCATTATCAAGCACTCCAACATACAATACAATTTACATTTATATAATGTCTTTCAGGTTGGGAGGACATCCCAAAGAAGATTCACAGTGCTACATCTGACATAATATGGATTATACATCTGGTATAGCATGGACTGGGTACAAAACAAAGATCCTGCTGCTCCTCCCACAATGGCGTACCTTGAATCATATCTAAGAGCACTTCTGCAACATTTGACATTGTGGCTCAATCAGATCACATCACAAGAGAGATTCTGATGAAGAAGGCCATGTTTATCACCTGATTTCATCCTTTCAGAATACCTCCAGTAATAAGAAACAGTTATTCAATTGTCCTCAATCCTCAACCAGAAAATTGAGTCTGGTTTTCCAGCATTGAAATCCTTCATTTTGATGATAACAAATAAATTGTAAGAATGAGCTTAAAGAGAATACAGCCAACTCACTTTTGATGATCTACATTGGTTCATGAGGTCAATATACTGGTTTCTTCCTATTCCCAGGAGCCTTAGACCTATAAAAGAATTTGAGATCAGAATGCAATTGTACAGTTTCAGTTGTATTCATATGTAAACCTTGTAAGTTTATTCTCCAGCTATACAGAAAATGTCTGGTTTTCAATACAGAACAATTGGCATTTCAGCATAATCATCAAAGCTTTGAATTATGTCCTTAAGGAAGAAACATTCAAGACCAATTTGATAAATCAATTCATTAATAATATTGCCATGATGCTCCAGAGCATATTCTACAGAAGAAACAAGTTTTTAGATAATGCATTAACAAAGCTGGAAAAAAACATATTCCATGTGGCATATTGCAATAGTTTAACTTATTTTTCCAAGCTATATCTCTCTTCTACACAGAAAAAAATAAAATTTCGCTATCCACACATCAACAGCAAAGCAAGCCACAATATAATCCTATCTTAAACTTGATTGGGGGCAACAATTATATTGCAGTTTAGAAAGAATGCAAGTGGAAAGTAGAAATATACATCACAGAAACCCGAGACTTATACAGTATCAGAAGGTGCTGCTCTGAGGTTGGGGTTACAAACAATTGTTGGAGTCAAACAATCAAGCACAACACACTCAGCACAGAGAGACTTACAATCAGCTGCTGTGAAATTGGGCAAAGAATCATAACTTTTTTCACTGTTCATTATGTCCTACATAAAAAGGAAAAGACAATTGTTATAAATAACTACAGCTCATAGTAAAACTTGATCCTCTACCTTACTTGATAATTTCAGACTCTGCACTTTCTGAAGAACTTTCTGAACCAAGCTAATTTCAAATATTAGGTTACCAGAAGGGTTTTGTAAGGTTTATATCCAACAATAGTGAAAGGTGGTGGGCAGATAAGCAGAATAAATCATTCTTCTGGAGTCCTGTAGCTCAGTTGTTAGAGCACTCGCTTTGCAAGCGAGAGACCTGAGTTCAATTCCAGGCAGGGCGAAACCTTGGGCAAGTTTCCTTACTCCACACGCCTAATAATATTCCCTCCAAAACCAAAAACAATAATAAATTGGTTATTTTCAATGTACGAGTGTTTGTGGGACATTGCTGTGCGCAATTGGCTGCCGCGTTCGCCCACAAATATACAGTCAATGTATAGAATGCTACAAACCTATTTAAATTTACATTCTTTCACCAAGTTGTAAACTAACTGGCTAGTGGGAGGGAAAAGGCACAATCCCTGTTCCCATAACCATGTGCCGGCACTGAAACATTGTGCTGCTTTGGTATTTTGTTTTTCATCTGCGGAAAATTTATAGCACTGTGTAGAGAACCTAATCCTATTATAGGATTGTGGTTATAACCAATTTCTGCATTCAGTTTCCATGGAAAATCTTCCATCTGACAGGTACCAGCCTCTCTGCATTAATAACACAAATGGTTATGCAGCTCCTTTAATCAAGACCATGATAATTGGACAGGAACACTTTAAAGGGAACAACAACACACCTGTGCATAAGCAATTTGAATATATGCTGCAAAGTGTCACTGAAAGAAATAACTGAAGTTACGCCAATACAATGTCAGAACACTGACCATTTCAGGGCTCCACAATGGAAACCTAAAAGGGATTACCAGACTAACTGCGGGTTCTGGTTACATTATTAAACAAGAGCACAGCTCAAACCACCAACTGAGCACATACACCATAGTTTGAAATTACATTCAATATTGTTTTAATGCTTTGTTTTAATTGTTTTTAATCCTTTCAAATTCATGGGATTTTTGCACTTTCAATAACTCCTAATCACCAATTTGTTCAGATGGAATGACTTCCTTGCGTTCAATCAATGAAATGGTTTTCAATCAATTAGCACTTTCTGTGGCAGTATTTACTCATAGCAGAATATAAAATCTAATTATCTGTAGTTGTTGACACTAGTTTCATTTTCTCCACTGAACATATTGGATGGTCTGTAGGTCCATAGTCCACATAATCTCCTTTAACAGGCTCGATGAGCAACACCCTATCCTCATCAAGCTCCACTGGCTCCCTATCCCCACTGAATCAACTTTAAGAGCCATATGCTGTTATTGTTGTTGTCCTCCTGGGCCTGCCTTACAGCTTTCTTTATCAACACAAACAGGACAAACTTCTGAACAAACTTCTTCCCAATTGCAGCTAGATTCCGTATCGCATTAAAATGGCTGCAAGAGGAACCTTACCGACCCCTAACTTGGGTGAACAGGATCAAATTTAAACACACAAACATATTGCTGAGCATGAAAGCTAGTGAATATTTACTCACCTCCATAATTCCTATGTAGTAAGAAAAGGGTGTAACGCGTAGTCCCTTGACCATAATATCCGATAAATGAAATGGATACAGCATGAGGTGCTCCCTGCTGTATTTAAGCAGCTCTTCATAGTACTTGCGCTCATCTTTCTTAACATATCTCACTTTAAAACAAAAAGCAGGAAAACAGTCAGAAATGCAATGTACTTATGTTTGCAAAGATAGCAGAAATTGTATTGTAAAACAGTCAGATTCTATCTGCTGCAGCCAAAAAGCAACCATAAAGCATTTTCAAGTACAATACATGAGGTAATCTTTAAAAAGAATTCAACTTCACAACTTAAAATTGAATGTGTTTTGAGTGTGATGGGCCGGGAGATAGAAAAGGGATATTACCATAACCTCCCTATCAGAAACAAGTCAATACTTTTAGGTTCTAGAGCCACGAGGAGAATCACAGACACGATGCAACTATCACAACTGCTGGCAGAACCCACATAAAGCAAGTATTTTTTTCTCCCTCCAGATTGATAACTGATGTAAGAAGCACATCAGACCTTTTGTGTGGAAAATGTTCTTCTGCTTACCCAAATTATTTCTGTACCGCAGCTGGTTGCGGATACTGTAAAGGAGGACGTGTTTTTCGTACTCGCGCTGCGAGTTCCCAAGACTCTGTAAAAAAACATGTGCAACATAGTTAGCACTGGTGGTCTGTTAAGATTTCTTTAATGAAGCCTATATCTTCCCTGAATTGGACCTGATTGGCTGTAATTACACCAGATTTCAAAGTGGAGGTAATTCCTAATATTGCAGGCAGAGGTACACCAATGAAGAGTGCTTTTCTACACAATACAACAACAATTCTTCCATGCTACATTCCCCTTCTCTATCCTTTTAACTTTCCATGAGAGGAAAGGTGCATCCAACCAGCCAACGTTTCTGTTCACGTTGGTTAATATTGTTAGGTGTTCGTCTGGCTCAGTTGGTAGCACTCTCACCTCAGAGTCATAAAGTCGCAAGTCAGGAGTGGATTCACATAGTCTAGTCTGACACTTTTATGTAATCGACAACAACTTGCATTTAAATAGCGCCCTTCATGCGTAGTAGCGTTCCAGAGTGCTTGTGGGTGAGCTACATGGCTGGAGGTGCCAATCTGCAACCTTGATGCTTTATGGCTTAAGATGCCATTCAAAAACCATGTCCATCAGCACAACATATAACTGACCTGTACAATGAAATGTAAAATTAAAGCTCACTATCTGAAATCTTGAAATCAAGCTGACAGAAATTAAAAATTGTGGAGAATCCGTTTTTGTATAAGATAATTCTGCACTAAACAATGTGCAATTCAAAAAAAATTAGCAATTTCTTATCTTTACATTAGTTGACAGAACATGGTAGAGCATATCTACATTATATACAGCCACAAAAAATATATAGTTACTGTAAATTCAGAATCAATCAGCTGAAAGGCTGGTTAATTATAAAATGAAGAGTAACTGATGAGAAGCAAGGAGTATCAGGATGGTAACTCAATACAGCAGTCCTGACAATATTGCAGAACACGATAACAGAGATCACGTGGTGGACAATCAGCAGACCTGGGATTGAATTTCTGTCTTAATCTCACTACCAGATAGATGCATTATAAACAATAAATAAGGATGTAGCTTTTCTTTTAAAGCTTTTCAAGTTACTTGCCTGGTGTATCACCAATCTGTTTCAGGTGCAACTCCTCGTACATGTTGAACTGGGTAATCTCATCTACAGTATATTTAAATCTTAAAGAATGGTGTGGAAATTGCACCAACATTACTTTCTTATGTAAACTACCTGTTAAGAGAAACCTCAAATAAAGTGCTAAAAGATCGAGCCCAAATCTGACCTGATGTTCACTTCAATCACTTTCTTAGTCAGAAAAGTCATGTGCTATTGAACAGGATTAGCATCCTCATCTATTTAGAACAGACACTCACTCCCCTTCACTGTGTGGCTGCTACTGAGTTACAGAACAAATTTCGGTTCTCGATCATCACTGGGCAACAAAGATTGACACCAGTTCACCATCCTTAAAAAAAAAATCAGATAAACTGGAAAGGAGTACAAGGTGTAATCTGGTTTCAAGTGTGCAGATAATTATTAATTGCACAAAATCTGTTTATGTGAAACAAAGTGCCAAGACTGAATTCCAGGAACCTGTGTGGTTCAGGCAAAAAATACAAACCAATGATCTCTGACAGATATCCATTATTCTCAATTTCTTACCATGTAACCTACCATGTGACCGTCCACCTCAGCCCCTCCCTTGCCTCCTTCAAGACCTGTCACACATGCACGGTCAAAGAGGAGGGCTTTGAAGAGGGTCTTGAGGTGGATCTTGAAGGTGGCGAGGGAGGGGGCGAGACAGAGAGACTGAGGGATGGAGTTCCAGAGGTTGGGTGCAGAGCGGCGGAAGGCCCACCAGCCGATAATGGGGTAAGCAAGGCAGGGGATGTGAAGCCGGCCAGAGCCCGCTGAGCGGAGGGAGCGAACAGGATGGTAGGGGTTAGGAGGTCGGAGAGCTAGGCCTCGCATTGCATAGAGCACTCGCATTGCAAGGAAGGCACCTGGGTTCATTGTATATGAACACCTGTTGTGATGACTGAAAATATAAAGCTCTATAAGTCCATCCTACAGCTTCCATGGTGGGATTCATGAAAATCAGATACATAAAAGGATTTCAAGGCAGTGTGAAATCAAAGGATTTCAGCATTTGGTAATTTCAAGCTGTTAGGTTCTGCACTTAGAACATTTGTGTGACTAGGATTTCACAACACTATTTCACAGTTGTTATTCTGCTGAAGTGATCACAGACAATAATACAAGAAATCTGATGTCAACAACTGATTTCAGAAGTTAAAAAACTCATGGTATTACTGTACAATGGCAGTTACAAAAATACACTGTCAACAATACAATCACTGACAGCACTTCAGCAAGCAGCTTTGCTCTCATTGTCCATATCATCTAAATGTCTGAACAAAATTATTAATACAGTACTTCAAATCATTCCAGGGAGTCCACTAAACCATCAAACTATTACAGAAACACTCATACCAGCATCTCTGTCAAAAGCATATTGTTCATATAACTGGAATGTTATGTCTGACCCTCAACTATCCTTTCTAACCCACATCAACGCCATGACCCGCTCTGCCTTCCCCCACCCCTGCAACATCATCCGGCTCCATCACTGTCTCACACCGCAGGCCGCCGAAGCCCTCATGCACTCATTCATAACATACTGGCTTGACTGCAAACTCCCTGCTTGTCGGCTTCCCCAATTCCTCCCTCCATAAGCTGCAGATCATCCAGAACTCTGCAGCCGTGTCCTCTCCCGCACCAGGCTCCGTGACCCTATCACCCCCAACCGCCCGACTCAACTGGCTTCCCATCACAGAGGATACAGTTCAAGATCCTGGTCTTCACCTTCGAAGTCCTCCATGATCTTGCTCCCCCTTAACTCTGCAACCTTCTAACCCCCTAGCAACCTGCCTGCTCCTTCCGCTCAGCGGGCTCTAGCCTGTTTGACATCCCCCGCCTCGCCCACCCCATGAGTGGCGAGTGCAGCCTTCAGCCACTTTATCCCCACCCTCTGGAACTGCATCCCGCATTCCTTCCGCCTCGCCCCCTCCCTCACTTCCTTCAAGACCCATCTCAAAACCCTCCTCTTCAACCGTGCCTTCGATCACCCTCCTACCCCCTCTGCCCTCCACATTTCCCCAGCATGGGTATGAAACACTGGTTGTCCAGCACCTTGGGACATCCTCCCGACGCAAAAGGCATTATATAAATGTAATTTTATTGTTGTTGTATTTAAGTGCTCAAAGATGCTATCCCATTTGTAAGGGGCTATATAACTGCAAGTTGTTGTACAGTTAAACTCTGATAACTAGCCCCTGGGATAAAGAGTTAATTCTGCATAACTCGTCACTCATTCAATATCCTGGCTATTCAAATACTTTGTACTTTAAAGATACTGTCCTTTGGATAACTGGTCAACTTTGATAAGTAGTTGTTTGACCCATTGGGGCAACAAGTTATCAGAGTTTCACAGAATTTAATGGTGGGGGTGGGGGCGAGAAACACCGGCATTTTAGGATGTATGCACCAAACATTTCAAATGTAGCCTATAACCTACCCCATCGCTGACAGCAACCAAACGTGTAACTGCGTTTCATGAGCCGACGTGTTCTCATCCAACATTGTTCACCAATTAACCAAATACAAGATGATGAAAAATATGCAGCCCTAAACTCTCTGATACACTGCGCTGCCATTTATCAATGAATCTTTCTTACTGAAGACACACATTATCGAGCTAGGAAAAGGGTAGTATTTCATATTTGAATCGAGCAGCAGCAAAGATACCAAAACCAAAGAGGCTGACTTGTCAAGATAAGGTTCATTTTGCAAATAAAGTAGCTTACACGTGTTAGCTAAAAATCGTTGACTGAATGTCACGTACAAAATACTTATTTCTGCTCCATTTATTTATCCTAAAATTTTCTATTTACCAGAGTAGCATCATTGGTATTTATTAACCATGTAACTGATTAAAGGGAAAGACAAGATCCCCAAAACTGTTGTCCCCGAGTGCACTATAAAGTACTGCGCTCGTCTATAGAATTGTCCCATTAATTACTTATCAGTGTTTAATACATGCAGGAACTTGCCAGGGAGGGAGGACGAGTGCTATAGGTCACAGTTTTTGACCTCTCTCTCACCCTCCCTTTACCTAGGGTCTCGCTTACTCTCTCTTTACCCGGGATCTCCGGTAAGTGATCCGAGACACCGTCCGGCGTGAAGGTTGCTATATAAATGCAAGTAGTTGTCTCACTCACTCTCTTTTCCTGGAATCTTACTCATTCACTTTCTCTCTCTTTAACCGGGAGCTCACTCACTCACTCTCTCTTTACCTGGGATCTTGCTCACTCAATCCCTCTTTACACATTGTCTCAACAACAAGATTACATTTGTATAGCGCCTTTCACATCGGGAGGACGTCCCAAGGCGCTGGACAGTGTACAGCATTTCAGAGTCTCACTCACTCTATCCAGGATCTCGCTCACTCAATCTCTCTTTGCCCAGGATATCACTCACTCACTCTCTCTTTACCCAGGATATCACTCACTCACTCTCTCTTTGCCCAGGATCTCACTCACTCACTCTCCCTTTACCCGGGATCTCGCTCACTCATTCTCTCTTTACCAAAAGTCTCAGTTGCTCACTTTACCCAGGAACTCGCTCACTCTCTTCAGCCAGGCCTTGCTTCCTCGCTCTATTCCTCATGCTCTCTCTCCCCCTCCATCCCCCACTCTCTCCCTCCCTCTATCCCCCACTCTCTCCCTCCCTCTACCCCCATTCTCCCACTCTCTACCCCCCACTCTCCCTCTCTCGCTCTCTCTACCTCCCACTCTCCCTCTCCCACGCTCTCTACACCCCATTCTCCCTCTCGCGCTCTCTACCCCGCCCTCTCCCTCTCCCCCCACTCTCTCTCTGCCCCCCACTCTCCCTCTCTCGCACTCCCTCCCCCCCACTCTCTCTTGCGCTCTCCCCACCCCCCACTCTCTGTCTCACGCTCTCCCCACCCCCCCTCTCTCTCGCGCACTCCCCACCCCCCACTCTCTCTCGCGCACTCCCCACCCCCCTCTCTCTCGCGCACTCCCCACCCCCCACTCTCTCTCGCGCACTCCCCACCCCCCACTCTCTCTCGCGCACTCCCCACCCCCCACTCTCTCTCGCGCACTCCCCACCCCCCACTCTCTCTCGCGCACTCCCCACCCCCCACTCTCTCCCGTGCTCTCCCCCCCCCACACTCCCCCCCCACTCTCTCCCCCCCCACTCTCCCCCCCCCCACTCCCCCCCCCACTCTCCCCCCTCCCACTCTCTCCCCCCCCCACACTCTCCCCCCCCACTCTCCCCCCTCCCACTCTCTCCCCCCCCACACTCTCCCCCCCCACTCTCTCCCCCCTCCCCCCCCCCCCCCCTCCCTCCCCCCTCCCTCTCCCCCCTCCCTCTCAGTCTCTCTCTCGCACAGTGGCGCAGGCCTGAGACGCCTCCCCAGAGTGAGGACGCTCCGGTGTGGAGCAGTGCCGGGGGTGGTGGTGGTGGTGGTGGTGGAGCACTGACCTGCCTCACGCTGCCCGGCAGTTTAGACCAGGGATAATTCTGTCGGATGTGAAACTCCACGTCAATGTTCATGGCAGCGGCTGTGAGAGCGGCGGCGCGTCACCCCGCGGCGTCACATGACCCCCGCCGACATCACGTGACTCGGCGTCATTGGACGTCCGCGCGGCGTCGACGCGCAACACGCAACGTCATTGCGTCACCCGCTTACCTCAGCACCAATGGGGGAGGGGTTGGGGGCGGGGCTTCCCTGATCCAATGGGACAACCTGTAAATGGTTCATTACAAAGGAGATATGTGATAGTTTATGATAAACTGTGTCATTTAGATGGTCGTCCCCCAGCGACCTGCGCTGACATTCCACAATAACCATAATCCTTGCATTTGATATCGCGCCCGATCGCGGCTCCGAGACGTCTCAAACCGCTTCACACAATTATACTGCAAAGTGTAGTGACTGTGTATTTGGTGGGCGAAACGCGGCAGCCAACTGTGCACGGCCGTGTCCCCACAAACAGTCGTGGATTGAGTGACCAACGTATTATTTTATTTTGGAAGGGATTATTATTACCCCGGGAAAGCGATCCGCCAATAACTAACAACTGGGTTCCTACTTACTGCTCGGTAAACAGCGGTGTGTGCAGTAAGGAGACTTGCCTAAAGTTTCAAACTGGATCTTGTGGATTGAGGGATTATTACCCCGGATATGGATTGCATACAGTATCATGAAAGCCAAGCAACAGGACAAATACAACAAGAACAAGATTGCATCACGTTGGGAGGACGTCCCAAGGTGCTGGACAGTTGGGTCGGGACCCGAGCAGTGGGGGAAATGGTCAGGGTGAGGGGAGGGAAGGGAGGGAGCGAGGAGGGGGTAGAGAGTCGAGAGGGGAGCTGAAGGCACGGTCGAAGAGAAAGGTCTTGAGACCGGCCTTGAAGGAGGAAAAAGGGGGAAGCAAGGCGAAGGCACTGGGGAATGGAGTTCCAGAGCCTCGGGGCTGAGAGGCTGAGGATCTTGCATTTGATCCTCTGGGGAATAAATAGAGTAGAAGTTCAGGGTTGTGAAGGGCAATTTGGGGACAAGACCACAGGAAAGTATTTTGTTACACAGAAGATAAGTAATGATTGGGACAAGTTACCAGGAAAGGTGGTGGAGGCAAGGACGCTGGGTAAAGAGCTCAATGCAGCTGGGAAGGTGGTACATTTCATATTCTGGAAGGATGAGAACAAATGAGCATCTGAACCTCTGGTGATCTTGTGAATCTAATTACAGTATATAGGTCAGCGACACAAACATTTCATCATGCATTGAGAGCTCATAAAATAGGTTAAGTGTACAGACACTGTTTTACAAACTGCTTGCAGTGGTGTTTCATTTTATAGATCAACTCTTGGAAGAGTTCATGGTATCAATTAACTACAGAACAAAAGCAGAAAACAGTTTTATTTATCAATCTGAGAAACATTTATTAGTTTCAGTCTGCATTGGGAGCTGAAACCAGCTCTTGTACTTTGCTCTTTTGTTCTCTATTTCATAGAAGGCAGCCACACATTACAAACACATTGCGGTTGTCAGCTTCCTCAGATCAAACAAACTTATTCCTTTTTTTATTAAGGCCACAATGGGCAGTCATCAAATTAAAGTTAAACAAAGCCTACAATTGAATGCACAAGTGTAATCTCTGGCATTTCATTGGATTTTCTTATATGTGGGAGATAAAACTCATCATAATTTTATTGTTTGTGAAAATTTGTTTCAGGATCAGCTTGAACTTTTGTTAAGGCAGCACCATGTAAGGGAAATATCTGAAGCTCTAAAATCCTCAGATAAATTAATTGGTCATTCACTTTATGGCTGTTTGTGGGACATTGCTATTCACAGAATTGGTTTTGCATTCACTTACAATATACTTCACAGTAAATTCTGTGAAGTGCTTTGAGATCCCATGGCACTATTCAAAAAGAGAAAGGAAGTTTCTCCTAGTGTCCGAGCATATCGCCCACAAAATACAAAGTCATTCCACTTTATAGTAAATCCTGTGAAGGGCTTTGAGACATCTTGACGACATGATAAGGCACTATATCAAATGCAAGAATTGTTTTTTTTATTATCTGTATTTAAATGATTCAATGATTCTCCATTAGTAAATGTATATTTTATTTTGAAAGATACAAAATAATCTTTCTATCTGTTAAAATAAAACTAATAGATAACATTATCTATGAATACATAATCTATTAATTAATAAGATTAATAATTTTAGTAATCTAATCTATTAATTAATAAGAATAATAATCTTAGGAATTTAATTTATTTAATTAAGAAAGTCAACAACGTCATCAAATTACATTTGTATACCGCCTTTCACGTCGGGAAGATGTCTCAAGGCGCTGGACAGTCAAGGATCTGGACCCGATTTGGCCTTTGGGATGGAGGGCAGGGAGAGGGTGGGGGGGGGGGGGTTGGAAGGTGACTGAAGGTGCAGTCGAAGATCAAGGGTCTTGAAATGATCCTTGAAAAGGTAACAGATGTAACTTAGTTGAGAATCACAGTACTCAAGTTTTTTTTACACTTCCTTAAATACTGTACCATGTATCAATAATAGGACACCCAAGTATAGATATCAAAGTCACAATCATTCATTAACATGCACATAAACATTTACTTTGTCTGATAGCATTGAAATCACATACATATAACCTTAAATAACTTTCCAAGAAGCCAAATTTTTTCAGAAAATATAACTTTTTTTAAATTACACTCATCACATAAATCAAAGTCACTCCTCCATCCTTTTGCCCCCCCTACACAAGAAGGATCCTTTGATTCAGTTTCTGGTTAACCTCTATCAACAATGCCACAAATCAATTTCATCCTTAGTTACAGCAAACTTTAATGATCCTTGAACAATGGACGCATTATTGAAATCTTTGTAGCTAACTGGACTTCTGACCTTGAAGGCCTTCATCGACAAGTTAAGTTGTTCTTCTGATCTTGTTTCTTTCATGCATGTGGCCTTCCCTCAGCATGTCCATCAATTTAGGCGTACGCCAAACACCCAGTCCTCTTCCCTTTCACCCCTTCCAGCGTGAAGGGCGCTATATAAATGCAAGTTGTTGTTGATCTACTCCTTCTCCAATTCCTCTGCTCATCCCTCCACTGAGCTAATTTGTTTCTGTAATGCTTACCCCCCACTTCACACTATCATTGATGGTTGAGCCTTCTGTTACACCTCCCTCTAACGTCTGGTACACACACTCTCCTTCCCTTCTGCCGTGCCCCCACCGCCCCTGGCGCCCCCCCCCCCCCCCCCCCCCCCCCCACCACCACACACACACTTATCTGTCTTTGAATACAGCTATTTTAACCCCCTTACAACTACCTCAAATAAACAGAGCACTTCAGCAGGGACCCTGGGTGCCAGATGTTCTTTCTCTCTTGCAAATGACCATCAAAGCACACTTGCTTTCACATTCAAAACAACTGCTCTTTCCTATAATTGCCAAGGCAAGACCCAATTTATCATACAGGAGTAGTAAGGTAATGAACATGTAAAGATAAATATGTGCCACTGCATTTGAGGAAATCAATCATCAGAAAAACTCAGCTATCGAAACTTATATACTAATTGTTAAAAGTATCAATCTTTCCATTACTTGTCAATAGCGTATTATACCATTTTTTTTCAAATTAAATTGAGTTTAATACCTTGAATAGTCACTGCATATGACTATGGAAAATGATCTTAGCCACAATGGAATCAATCTATTTGCATCTTAGTCATATCAAATTAAACTGATAAACAACCAGTAAATAGAAACAAACATGATTATGATCCCTTTCCCTGGCCTCTTGTCTCCTGTTTAAAAGAGGTGACTCAGACTTGGATACATGACCACAGTAAATGATAGCTCTCCAGCACCTCACCTTAGTGGCAATTCTTCATGTGTGAACTGGGTAGTGAGTGTCACACAATAATAACTGCATTTGATATAGTACCTTATGTGAAAATGCCTCAAAGTGCTTCACAGATGGGATGCCTGTATTGATAGTTGAATGCGGCAGCAATTTGCATAGTCATTGTCGCACAAATAGTTATGAAATGAATGACCTTTTTTAATGTCTAAGTTTATGTCCAATTATTTTTCTAATTTTCTTCCCATTAGAATATGGCTCTCCGCTTCCCGAACCAGCTCCACTTGTCTACTTGCTGGGGTGTTCTGCCCTCAATTGTCCACTTGCTGGTGTATACTGCCCTGGATTGCCCAATTGCTGGGGTGCGGTTTCACGGAGTTGGTTGGCCTCCAGTACTCAAGTTTGAGCCTTGGTGGTTTGGTCACTCGCTTCACAAGATTTGAATATGGTAAAGTGGATTGATTGTATTTGTGGATGAAACGCTAGCAAAACCAACCAATCAAATGTCAAAAAACAAGCGAATCCCGTAATTTTTTCACCTCACAAGCTGGTCTTTAAAGCAGCAGAGATGTCAGAGGTGCCTGACTTTGGTAAATCTCCTCTATTTCAACTCATTCCCATGGTAACCCCACCCTTCCATGGGAGAAGCATTTTGGAAGTGGTGCTCATTTTATCAACCTCAAAGTGTAAAGGGCTGAGGTCATGCATCAGCTTCAAGCACAGAACCTATTAGTTCCAAGTTTCGTGGTCGGCAAATTGAACTACCTGGACTGTCTAACATTAGAATGAGAACTCTTAATTGAAAAAAGCAGTACCAGTAAACCTAGGAATTCCCCGTCCTTTTATATGTATGACAAATATGCAGATAATGAATTGTTCCTTGCTAGTTTTCTATGGCTCACAGATAAAGTGGGTGTTGCATGCATGCCTTTGGCAACTCCCTTGACCCTAGTAGAATATTATCCTGTTATGAGAGTCTAATGGTTAAGTCTATCAACTGGAAGGAGTGGTGCTGTTTAAAATTGCTTGCAATAAAAATATTTGCCCTCATTAAAACAAAATATATTTAGCATAGTGCAGAAGTACACTCACACCCAATTGCACGCTGATTATTATTTCAGCAATCTGTCCCCGAGAAGCCTCCAAAGAGGAAGTGAAGTACACATTACGCAAATATTACACCAGAGTGACAGCATTGTTTCTCTGAGGAGAAGACACAGGGTGTTACTGCACATTACGCAAAGCATCCAGGCCATCAAGGAGTTTCTGGCTCTGCTCCATCACTGGGCTCTATGCTACGAGCATATAAAATAAAAAGAAATATAGAAAAAGAGGTTCACCCTAACCTCAATGTGCACTTACATAGTTAATGAGCTCTTTAATTCCCTGGCCAGCACCCTGGGAGAAAAACCTCTTATCCCAGGCAAATGGGACTGAATTGATTAGTCTTTCAAAAAGTCAGCACAAAAAAACACAAGGGGTTGAATGGCTTTCTTCTGTTTAAATACTATTGAAATAAAGAGCGAAAAATGTGATGTTTCAAACCAGATTATGTGTGATAATTGTGACATTAAATCTGTTGAGAAACAACAGGGTAGTGGAGTGAGATGTAAGCAGGTCATAGAGGTAGGGAGCTGCTAGGAAATTAAGTGAGTTTTACACCATTGTGAGGTTCTTGAAATCCAAATAATTAAGAAAAAATCAAAATAAATTGAGATAATTTTCAAAGGAGGAGATTGGGAGGATTTTTTTAGACAGAGTTGTTAGGATGTAGAAAGCCCTGCTGGGGACAATGATTGAGGCAGAATCAATATTAGCTTTCGAGGGGGAATTAGATAGATACCTAAAAGGAGTGATATACAGGGATTTGGGGAAAATAATAAACATTGCATTTGATATAGTTCCTTACACATCAGGAGGATGTCTCAAAGCCCTTCATAGGATTTGCTGTAAAGTGAAGTGACTGTGTATTTTCTGTAGGCAAATGCGGCAGTCATTTTGTGCACAGCAATGTCCCACAAATAGCTATGAAGTGAATAATCAATTTTATCTAGGGGTATTGTTGGCCAGCACCCTGGGAGAAAAAACTCTTATCCCAGGTAAATGGGACTGAATGGATTACATGTTCAAAAAGTCAGCACAAACAAACACAAGAGGTTGAATGGCTTTCTTCTGTGCTGTAGATTTTCATGGTTCTATGCTGAATAAACTAGGGCTGTATTCTCTAGAGTACAGAAGAATTAGGGGGGATCTTATTGAAACTTATAAGATTCTTAAAGGGCTGGATAAAGTAGACACAGAGGGACTGTTTCCCCTGGTAGGAGAATCTATAACCAGGGGTCACAGTCTTAAAATTAAGGGTCAGCCTCTTAGAACAGAGTTGAGGAAACATTTCTTCACTCAGAGGGTAGTGAAATTATGGAATTCACTATCCCAGAAGGCTATAGATGCTCAGTCCTTGAACATTTTCAAGGCTGAGACTGATAGATTCTTGAAAAATAGAGGGATTAGGGGATATGGGGATAGGGCAGGTAATCAGAGTTAGGTGAGAAGATCAGCCATGATCTTATTGAATGGCAGAGCAGGCATGAAGGGCCGAATGGCCTACTCCTGCTCCTAATTCTTATGTTCTTATGTTCTTATGATATTGGCTTATCTCAGGTATCCGGTGAAACAGAGAAACTCTCTTTTCTTTTCAAATAATATCACTGAATTTGTAACATCCATCCGAACAGGCCGATGCGACCTTTCATTTAATGTCTCATCTAAAGAATGACACCTCCAACAACTCAATGTTCCCACAGCCTGGATTGTAAGTTCAAAGTCCCAACGTGGGTCTTGAAAATACCAGCATCTGAATCAGAGACAAAAGAATACCAGCCAAGTCGGCACACAAGTTGATAACGTTTGAAAAGAAACAAGCAAGTCCAATGTTTCCAGACTTTGCTAACTTGGGATTCATCATCTGAAGCAAGAGAGGTTTGGTCGAATGTTCTTTGTTCTATTTGGCCTCATTCTTCTAGATCCCATCATCCAATCATCACCCCATTGCAGCATTAAGTTGTTTCTTAAATGAGTCTGCCATCTGCGCCTCAAACACTTATCCTGGTACCCCATTTCTGTCATCAATTCTACCCTGTGTAAAGAAATAAATCCTGGTATCTGTGCTGAAATTGCCCTTTGCAACCCCAAACCCTTGCCCTCCTGCCTTGATGTATCTCGAACTATTGTTCTAGGTTTCCTTTTTTGATCTCATTTAGAATCTATGTGCTTCGATGGGGTCCCCTTTGAGATTTTCTTTTCAAGGTTTAAGAATGTTAAAGTGGATCCAAGAGGGATTCCAATTTGTTTTTGGAAATTAGAATTCAGACCAAACCATTGGGCCCAAAATCAGTGGTGGTCACTCCCAAACTTGTCAATAGCTAAACTTAATTTTGGAACGTATTATACTCTGATGTTTATGACATTGAATGTCTCATTTTTCACCCACTTATATTTAAAAGAAACTGAATGGCTATCAGTAAATTGCAATAATCTAATTGAGAAACTAAAGCTCATTATCTGAAGCCAGTGATTGAATAACTGCATACAATTGCCTGACAGTGCATGAGGTTATTCAGTTTCACTGTTTTTAATAGTCAGGTAATATTGTAAAAAGGATCATCAATCTTGAAGCCATACTATGATTCTTGCAAATAGATATGACTTGCTTTGTAAGATGAGACTTAACAGAAAAACAACTTGCACTTATATAGCGCCTTTCACCCAGTTAAAAGTCTCAAAAATCTTTACAGAGATAGAGTGGTAGCTTGCGCAGGGTGGAAGATGGGGAAGAGAAGAAGAGGGAAATGAGGTAGATTTTTAAAAGGGATTTGAAAGCAGAGAGGGATGGTGCAAGGTGGAGATATTTAGGGAGAGGGTTCCAGAGAGTGGGGCCACGGTGGCTGGAGGCTATGCTGGGGTGAAGGGGCAGGGCACACGGATCATACCTGAATGGCAGGGTGAGGTAGTAGGACTGCAGGATTTCAGAGAGAGAACAGCATAACAGTGCACTGTGTGCAGTCAACAGGACATATTATATAGTGTTCTACATTAATTGTCTCTTATATCTTTAAACATTTTGTTTTATTTTAATGACGACACTGAAACCAAGTAGACAACAAACACATTTATGTATTGCTTTTATTGCGGGAGGAGATCTCGATGTACTTCACAGAGCTGACTGGGAGTCCACTCTGGGGTTGGGGGAAGCTGAGTAAGGTAGAGGGAAAAGGTGATCAAAATCACAATTGAAAGCAAAACAGTTAAAGGTTTTCGGTGGGGGGGTGGGGCAAGGTGGATGGACTCTGGGATGGAGTACCAGAGAGCAGTGGCTGAATTGCTGAAAGCTTGCCCACTGATGGTATGTCAGGTTGGTGGGGTTCATGAAACACTCATGAACACCACCCAACTGACATGCCATCAGTGGGCAAGTCATCAGGTAGTAGAGTTAGAAGCGATCATAATGGTAGGGTGGGACGAGGCCACAGGAGGATTTAAACATGACGACAAAGATCTTGAATTAGAGATAATAATTGAAGTACAGGGTAATGATTGCATTTCCCCCGCCCTATGAGTAAAACAATGTTATTTTTGCTTTAAAAATTCTGCCTGAATAATCTGATGCCTACCCTCTGTACACTCACACCAATTGCAGTCAAGTTAATATGTTACATTGTTGTGTTAGATATTGCTATTGAACCTTTTATCACCCGTTTCCATTGCAATAAAGTCACGCCCAGCAACGGTTTGCATCGGTTTTAAATCTCAGTGTATAAAAAAAATCCCACCACAATTACTTGTCAGAGCTTCAGGAAAGGATACTAGTCACTGGACAAGATGGGCAACACTCACGTAAGTCCTAGGCAAAATACATTTGATTTGTAGACTGATCAATATAAGCTGTTAAATACTCCCAACAGTGATAGTCGCCAAATTACTGAAAGCAGCTGTAATTTGTCAACATATTTAAGGTTAAAATAATTGTGGCTCATTCCTTGGGTAGGTTGAATAGATTTGGAAATCCATTCTTTGAACTTTTTAATCTTCATTGGAATCAAACATTGGGCTCAAAGCTCCAATAGTGGTGCAGCAGGATTTAGGTACAACAACAACTTATTTATTTAGTGTCCTTCAGGCAGGTAGTGTCTCAGAATGCTTAACTTCAGTGTTTTTTTTAATGACCAGCTGGAAAGGAGGTGTGGGGTTACCGAGGCATGGTCGAAGAGGAAAGTCTTCAGGCGTGATTCGAAGGAGGGGAGGAGGGAACAAGCTGAAGGGATTGAGGCAGGAGTTCCAGAAATTCAGTCACAACTGTGAAGCGTAGGGGACAAGGAACCTGTGCTAGCTGAGCGAAGGTGGTGGGTAGAGGAGTGGGGTGTAAACAGATCGGAGATATAGGACAGGGCATGAAGAGGTTTGAAGGCGAGAGTTGTTGAGACGTCTCAAAGTGCTTTGCATAATGTAATGTAAAGTGAATTTGACCTTATACTTGGTGGGCGAAAAGAAGCAGCCAATTGCCCACAGCAGCAATCCATCCACGCAAACAATCCACTCTGTGAAATTTATGTGACGGGAAATATTTTGAAAACTTATTTTGTTCAATCAGAGCACTAATATCAGGGTCATGAATTTGTCTGTGATTCGATATCAGGGAAGAGGGGCCACTGTCTTTAATTCAATCTTCCACTTGGTGATAGCCAGTGTTTACTGTTACAGTCAAATTTGCAGTTTACCCCATTGTTAACCCAGGATTTGCTGAAGATAGTCTGAGTAAACATTGGCTGTCAGTGGAAGATTAAGTTAAAGTCAATGACCCTACTCCTCCCTGTCAGCAAATCATAGCATATTCATGAAGCCATACAGACCATCAAGTTCCCTTACTTATGTTGCTGTGGTCTCAGGCTCTTTTGAAGCAAATCATTCTATGTTCTAATAATAATCCTTGCATTTGGTATAGCGCCTTATCGTGTCATTTGAGAAGTTTCAAAGTACTTCACAGGATATACTGTAAAATGGAATGTATTTTGCGGGAAAAATGGGGCAGCCAGTTGCAGACAGCAGTGTCTCACAAACAGCCACGGAGTCAATGACCAATTTGATTTGGGGGATTTGTTAGCTAGATCACTGGCAGAAACTCCCTTCTCGTTTCGAACAGTGTCATGGGATCTTTAACATTCACCTGAACAGGCAAATGGGATCTTGGTTTAACATCACATCCAAACTATTGTTATTCTCTAACCTTCCCCTTAAGTTTTCAAGTGACAATCCTGAGTTTATGCCCGTGACTCAGTGCCTACAGGAGAGAAAAAAAACTTTCCATTTACATGAATGGAAAATAATAATGAGATTAATTTGTAATAAAAGTAAATAGCAACAAAATGTATACAAATTTACCACAAATAGAGGCAATGGGCACTTGACATCTCTCAAACACACAAATAATGGTCTATGGGGGTTATCCTGTCTATCAATGGGTAGACCAGTTTAATTGGTTTGTTTAATTATCCTGCGCATTGGTGTCCATGGATGTGTTGGGAAATATTTGCTGTTTGTTAATAAGTGAGATAAGCACTGAATGTTTTATTGCTGTTCCTAAGTGACTGAAAGAAACAGTTCTCTTCAAATTTAAACTGTGGGCCCTTTCCACGTCTCAGTTGGTAGAATCACTGCCTAGTACAACAACAACAACTTGCATTTATATACTGGTAAAGGCATTCAAAACCAATTAGTTTCAAGTGTGATCAAAATCAGGTTTGATTCTTTATCTATGTTAAGTTAACTGATGTCAACTAGGCATATTAGTTATTCATAGTATTCATAGTATCTATAGTAGTCATACGAAAAATTGATCTCAATGCTGTGGAGCTCAGTGCTCGATATCCAGTGACACTTGCTGAAAAGTATTTGTTTTTATTGAGTGAGGATAGGATCAGACTTGGCTGTGATCCACTAACTCCCCCTCCCTCCCTGAGAATACAGAATATGCGTTCGTCACTACCTGACTCGATTTCTCAAATGCCCTCTTTGCCAATCTCCCCAGCTCCACCATGCACAGGATCCAGCTGATCCAAAACTCCGCCACCCATATACTCACCCGCACTATACTCCGTAGCCCCATCACACCAGTTCTAGCCAGGCTCCACTGGCTCCCTATCGCTGAACACATCGATTTCAAGATCCTCACACCCATTTTCAAATCCCTTCATGCCCTGGCACCTCCTTATCTCTCCGACTTGCTAACCCCCCAACCCACTGCCTCCACTCGACTGGATTCAGCCTTCTGCATATCCTTTGTACCCTCCGTTTCACTATTGGAGGCCGCACTTTCAGCCACTCCACACTGAAATGCTGGTACATTCTTCCTCTATCACTCCAGCTTGCCCCTTCCTTCCCCATCTTCAGGTCATGCCTGAAGACCTTCCTATTTGACCATGCCCACGGTTACCTCCCCCTTCCCCCAGCTAGGCGTCATGCTCTGCCACAGTCAAGCGCACTGGGATACTATCCTACGTGAGGGGCGCTATATAAATGCAAGTTGTTGTTATAAAAGTACAGTCGATACACTTTACAGTGAATCCTGGTGCTTCGAGATATCCTTGTAATATCGAGTCAGGAGATCTTTTTCCTTCACTGCACCATGTATTTGACCACACCCAATATAGAGCTCTCTGAAGAGCTCTATATAGCTGAAGACCAATTTATTTTGTTCCCCTCGAACCATAGAAAATTACAGCACAGAAGAAGGCTTTTTGCCCCATCGTGTCTGTGCTGGTTCTTTTAAGAGCAATGTTTTCAGTCCAATTTATCTGGCTTTCCTCATACCTCTGTTCAGCAAGTGGAAATCACTACTCTTATACCTTTTTTTAAAGTAAAACTTTTTGCTTTTGATTTGGACAATGCAACAAACATGGGTTTTCAAATTGTTGGCATTTCACCCATCTGATCCATATGGCTGAGACAGACATTCCTAAAAGTTAATCATTTCCTACGGTTATCAGGACTGAATTATTTTGTGTGCTTTGCATCCTGATACCAAGCAGCAAGACAATTTAGCAAACATGCCATTGTTGCCCTGAGGGAGAGAAGTGTTATCAATGACTGGTAGAGTTTCGTGGTGTGTTTAGTCATATTTATATGCAGATCACATATCACATACAGAGCAAAGTGACTATCTTGCAATGAAGCACACCTTGCATTGTGACTAATCAAACTAATCAACATCAAAGGAGAGGGTCTCCCGCTTTGTATAACTACCATTTCTATAAAGGATTAACTGAGTTTTACATCCTGGAGTTTATGTCAGTGTCAAGCAGCTAACATCCTACAATAATGTTTCTCTTCCTATTTCCCTTGGCTTCTCTCTTGAAGATCTTCAACTCCTATCTCCTTCAACTGGGATACAGTTCCATAGGTGCCAGACACCCTCTGCTTCTTTGCCCAAGTTGCCATTATTCATGTTGTGAGCCATCATCTTCACACTAATCAATTAATTTATAAAGTAATCATCACAGTGAGTGTTGGCAGGCTGTTTGACTGTAAAAAGATGGAACAATCATCTTCCTGATGTGACACTTAGCTGTTCTCTCCATTTCCCCAATAAGAACATTGCAGGTGAAGCAGGCAACCTATTGCTTCCACATTGCTGCAATCCTACATTGCTACTAAGGGAACAGGAGGCATTTATGAGTGAGACAAGATCAGCTCCTTACCTATTTCCAATGGAAAGAGGTTGGTTGACATATCTATCGTGTTACTTGTTACATTCGCCTACAAAGATAGTCACCGCATTTTACAGAAAACTCTATGAAGCACTTTGAGACATCTTGACATGATAAGGCACTATATCAAATGCAAAGATTATTATTACTATGTTATTTCAGTTTAGATCATTCCATGGAGGTAGTTTCTAAGAAGTTTTCAGTGTTGTGTCAGCCAGACACATTACACGTTACACTTCAATGGATGTTATATTTGAATTTGCCAAAAAAACTACTTTCTGCATCAGATGGACATTTTGTGCGAGGGTATCTTGTCAAACCATTTCTGAATTGTCGATTAACAGTCCCAATTACACCAATGATTATAGGAGCTATGCATGTCTTGTATTGCCACATTTAGGTCTATTTGTATTTCAACATACTACCTGATCTTCTCTAGTTCCTTATTTTGTACATTCTACTCACTTGGAATGGCCACATCATTGATACTGTTAATAAGTTATTATTAAATCCTCTTCCACCACCTTTTTAGGCAGTGTATTCCAATCCTAACAACCCACTGCTTAAAAAAAATCTCAAAAAGTGATAATGATATCTGGTTTATTACAGATGACTGTTCTATCTGTATGCACGAGTGAGTCCCAGATATTGTGATGTTACCTTTTACTGGTTGATGTTCATACCAGTTGGTCTTTACTTCAATATCAAAGTGTTAACAGATTGTTCAGTAGATATATTTAGCTACATTGTTTCTCCAGGTTCTCTAATGGCATTAGCGCTGAACACGATGACTTGGTCAGGCTGGACACCAGGACATCTCCCTCTACTCCATTGTAAATCCTGGTAAATATTTCAAAGGAACAGTCGTAGCTCCTTTAAATGACTCATTGAGTAAATTACCCAATGTCTAGGGTGTGATACATTATGCCATGCTGTAGTTGGATGAAGGTGAAATCAAGTCTGGGATTTTCTCATACAACCAGAGAGATACACCAAGCAAAGGTCAACCAGGCCCTACTTATTGGAAATGGGTGACAAGCCTATCCTGTCCAACTCAGGCATGTCTTAGGTTCTGAGCCATACAAGACAGCAAGGACCAACCTTTTAATCTGAAATCTATGTTGTTACTTCTCTGAACTACTCACCTATTTGTTGCCTTGTCAATCTTGTAGTACTGCAAGTACTTGGAGTATGAATGCTAACAATTGCACTGTATTTTACAGCCCGCAGTTCACTATCACATTCACTTCAGTGAAGACGAAGATGCCAAGAGGATCAAAAAGGCCTGCAAAGGAGCAGGTGAGCAAACTGAGATGTTATCTCAACTGACTTCCATTCTGTAATCATATTCAATTATAATGGTGGATAAATGACACAGTTGAACACTGGTTAATTTATAAGACAGAGAGAGTATCTTAATTATGTCTCAGATGCCTATAAATTGTGAAGGTCTCATAGCCAATAATCACATTCACACCCTGGCAATTAAGTGTGGGCCCCATCAACTTTTCCTTCTCCTTTTCAAGGTCTATAAGCGATTATCCTGTGGTAATCCTGTAGCTCAGTGGTAAGAGCATTCACCTCGGAACCTGGGTTCAATTCCCGGCAGGGCGAAACCTTGGGCAAGATTCCTTATTCCACATACCTGATAATAATCCCTCAAGAAAAAAAAACAATAATAAATTGGTCACTTCAATCTTCGACTGTTTGTGGGACATTGCTGTGCGGAATTGGCTGCCGCGTTTTGCCCACAAATATACAGTCAGTTCACTTTACAGTATATTCTGTGAAGCATTTTGAGATGTCTAGAAGACATGACACGCTATAACAAATCAAGGATTATTATTATATTTTATTATAGTGGAGGGGAGAAGTGATCAGAGAGTTAAACTAGCTCCAAGAAGATGTGCAAAACCACCCAGTGATTCTTTGCTGATTGATAAACTTACTGACCTGAAGAGTTGTGTTCTTGTTTTTGTGTATTGTGTTTATGTATGTGCATTTGTGTGTATGTGTTGTGATTGGGTTTGTTTGAATGTATTTGTGTTTGCATTTTAACAGTCCTTATGTCCACAAATCATGAGAACAATTCAATGTTTAGACCAATCAAATTAACTGTAGGTTGATTACCTATTCATCTGTGAACAATTATTTTACCAGCAAAGTGGAAAGTCCTTTAATTGGAAGGGTTTAGCATTGAGAACTAAGTCGAGTTAAACCTGAACTGCTTCCGCTGCAGAAAATGCTATGACTACAATATTGGGCACGAGGTGGTGATCCCTCAGTGTTCCCTCCATCATGAGTTCTGTATTCTGAGGATTTATTTACAGCCACATTACCATTGAACCAACCTGGTATCACAAGGCAAGCATATAAATGACTCCACCTCACTCAGATAATACTTTGCCTTACTTTAATTTTTTTGGCAACTGATAGATGCAGAAACCCATCACCATGGATTAGAGTATCCAAATCAAACTGAGAATTCCGTGCAACCCAAATTTCAGAGTACTATTGCCCATTTGTATTCTCATTGAGTCAAGCATTGCTTGTTTGCCTGCAGATGTGCAGAGACACTGTGAGTTTCAGGGCAACCAAAGTGCCCAGTGTAGGCAGAGGGCAGTTCCCATGGGTGTTAGGACACTGTCAGCTGATTCTGTTGCATTGTATCAGTTGCAGCTGTTGCATTGAAGCAGACATTGTGTTTCATCCCAATTTACACACTTTGTCTCAAAGGAGACAGTATGGATAAGTGGCTGCTGGTTGTGATGATGAGGGATTGCACACTCCAGAACAAGCAAACTCTGCCTCTGTGAGTTCTTAATAACTGGAAGTGGAGACAAGTACGGGAAGGAAGGGATTTTACACATTCAGTTGACCAGCTATATAAGGATAGAAAGGTGTTTGTGACAAGTGTTGCTATTTATCTGATCTACCATATCACTGAATCTTCCAGGCACAGATGAAACTGCTATTATTAAAATCCTAGCACGTCGGACAATGGAACAGAGACAAAAGATAAAGAGAAGTATCTGGCTCTGTATGGAAAAGTGAGTACATTGACAGTAAGGATTGCATAAAGTTCGCAATATGTTTGAGCACATTGGGGGTTGTGAATAAAAATCCAACATGAAAACTGGGATTTAATACATTCTCATCAAATCTCCTCAGGTTCAACATCAGGTTTTCCAAGCTGTGTTTTAAACAAGCACACGCATTCGTATACATATTCACCCATTCATACACACACACGCAAAAGCTCATGCACAGATCTACACAACGCACCCACATACTAATATAGTCACATAAATACATGCATAAAACACACATATGTACATTGAAACAACAGTACATATGTATACAGTGTGCATTTTATGTGATATTTGTGAAAACATACCTGCCAGTCTGGCTCATTAGCAGGATGTGGAGGAGCAGACTGGGATGATGACTGTCATTGTTTTGCTGTGAAGGTGCCTCACTTAATGATAAACCCAATAAAATCCTTAATTTCTGCTTCTCCTTTCCCCTCCCCCCCTTCCCACTTTCCCCATTCCTTCTGCCCTTTCTATCCTTCCCACCTCCTCAACCATCTCCCCACTGTCACCTACCCTCCTCTCCTCCCGCTCCATCACTCCCGCCCCCCACCTCCTTCCCACCAGTATCTGAGTTGCTTTGATTAATTTTTCTAGGAGCTGGAAAAAGTGCTTAAAAACGAACTCAGCGGGAACTTTGAAAAAGCAATAATGGGCTTGCTGGAGCCACCCTGTGAGGTTAATGCCAAGTCACTTCACAAAGCATTGAAAGGGGCTGGAACTGATGAAGATGTTCTTATCGAGATCCTCTGCACACAATCTAATAAGGTATTTCTCTTCAATCCCTTAAAGGGCTACCAAATATGAAAAAGTGTTAAGCAAACTTTTTTTCGCCTAGGAAAGGAGAATAGTCCATGCAATTACAATAATGATGATAATAATAATAATCCTTGCACTTGATATGTGCTATGCAATGTGATACATTTCAATCATCAATGTATAAGTGTTATTGAAGTATTGAAGGTCCTACAGGGCACAGATAAACTCTACAACAAGGTGATCATTTACTCAAGCATAAAAGAGGGATGATGAGTTTAATGACTTTACACAGATATACGTGTATATTCAAATACACTCAAACCAGGTGAACCAGGTTTGGGGGAGAGGGTGATGGCAAATTTAAAAGGGAATTGGATAGCAAAATGACAAATAAATCGATTGAGAGATATGAGAGATAGAATAGTGCATGATTTTATCATTGGCTTGACAGCCCTACTATATAGCCCTGCACAATCCAATGTTCCAAAGTATCATGTGCCTTAACACACAAAAACAGTTTTGCTATGTATCTTTGGATAAAGATGGTGCCCTTTTAAACTGAGCTCGATCTTTCTCAGATACAAACTAAAATTTAGCAGTCATTGTTTGTTCATCGCATTGCCTCATATCTGTTACACACTTTTTGTGGAGTCCTGTAGCTCAGTGGTTAGAGCACTCGCCTTGCAGGTGAGAGACCTGAGTTCAATTCCAGGCAGAGGGCGAAACCTTGGGCAAGTTTCCTTACTCCACACGCCTAATAATAATCCCTCCAAAACCAAAAATAATAATAAATTGGTCATTTTCAATCTACGACTGTTTGTGGGACACTGCTGTGCGCAATTGGCTGCAGCGTTCGCCCAGAAATATACAGTCAATTCACTTTACAGTGTGTTCTGTGAAGCGCTTTGGGATGTCCTCCTGACATGAAAAGCGCTATATCAAATGCAAGGATTATTATTATTATTATTTCGCCCAGTAATTTTGACTTCCTCTGTTCAATCCAAAATGAATGGGAATTACACCATAGCAGTGATAAACAAAAGCTGCTTATTTCACAACTGAATATTGAAACCAGTGCTACAAATATAGCTCGACAACAGTAAGCTGCACAAAGGTGACTTTATAAAAAATAGGTGTGGACTCCGCAGAGGTGAGGTGGATAGAGCGCTGCACCGTGTGAGTTGGGGACACGCTGCCTCACACCAAAGCACCAAAAGTAGACACGTTAAAACTCCTCAAGATAATACGTTAATAAATACAATACAACACAATTTACATTTATACAGTTTCTTTTACAGTCTCAGAAAGATGCCTCAAAGTGACCTGTCTACCTGTTGACAATCCTCTATATAAAGAAATAATCATAACCCGTTATATCTGTTGACTACCTTCCATATGAAGAAATACTAGTGTCTGTCCTAAAATTGCCATTCACAATCTTGATTCTGAACCATCTTGTCCTGCTGCCTTGGTGTATCTGGATGTATTTTTCTAGAATTACTTAATTCTATTTGGAATTTGTCAGCCTGGTTCAGTTGCTAGCACTCTCACCTGAGTCAGAGAGATGTGGGTTTAAGCCTCATGTCAGGACGTTGAGCTCATAGCCTACAATGCAGGCCATCTCTGGGGGTGAGCTGCATTGTCATAAGTATGTCATTCAGACAAGCCATTGAATGAGGTCCTGTCTGACTGTTCAGATAGATGTTAAACATCCCATGGCACTATTCAAAAGAGAAGGGAGTTTCTCCTGGAGCCATTAGCTGGAGTGCACAGTAGGGAGTTGTATACAGTAAGAGCTGAAGTTGAGGAGGTACAGATGGGAGCAAAGCAGGATGGCATTGGTTTTGTTGATAACCAGTTGAAGGAAGTTAGGTTAGAACCACTTGTTGTTTATGTAGGATGTCAGACCTAAGACTAGCTGATCCTCTGTAAACCTGTGCAGGAAATCTTCCCTGTGCAAATAAAACATTGTGTACTAATATTTATAATTACAATTATGTTTTTCAGCAAATGATGGCCATTAAGGAAGCATATCAGAAAAGTAAGTCTTTTGAGAATTATTCTTAAATTTTATCATTTATTTGTTACCTCCACTGGAATTATTATTGAACACAATTCAAATTCCTCTCACCTCTCCTTCCTCAGTACACAAGGCAGGCTGTGTTGTTACCTCTGTGTGAATTTGTCACAGAGAGTGAACTTGGTGGTGTGTTGGTTAACAGGATACTGAACTTAACTCCGTTATCCAGCACTGCAGACCTGTGAGGTTTGGTCGGCAAGTCAAGAGAGTAGCTAGAGGTCCAACTAATCTGTTGGAGTCAAGCGTGGTAGGAACACAACTACAAACAGTCATTATACAAACATAATAATAATTATCCTCACATTTGAGATAGCACCTTTCTCGTCAGGGGAACATCTCAAAGCACTTCACAAGATTTACTATAAAGTGTAGTGACTGCATTTTGTTGGCAATGTCTCACAAACAGAATGACCAAGTGACCAGGACAACAGGAGAAACTCCCTTCTCTGTTTAAATCATGCCATCTACTTTAACATCCACCTCAACAGGCAGACAGGACCTCAGTTTATATAATAATAATAGTAAGCCTTGTATCTGATATAGTGCCTTATCACATCGTTGAAATGCCTCAAAACTCTTTACAGAATGAATTGTAAAGTGTATTGAGTATATTTTGTGGATGAAATGCATCAGCCAATTATGAATAGCAGTGGATTGAATGATAACATTTTAATTTAATACACAAAACATTATAATCAGTGACTCTGGTTAGACTTTTTTAAATTTATTCTTCCTAGCCTATCGAGGCTCAAAGTGTCAGTCTAGTCTATGAGTTCAAAGTCCCATTGTGGGGTTTGAACCCACAACTTTTGACTTAGAGCAGGAGACAATGCTACCAACTGACCAAGACTGACACGCTTAGTTATCAACTGGGTGGAATAGTTTAACAGTGTGATAATTATCACAAATAGTAATGAATAAATCCCAAGTCGCAATTTTCACCCCAGAACATGGCCATTGCTCACAGTAAATCTGTCATTTCTGTTTCTGCACAGTTTTTGAAAAGGATCTCGAAAGTGAGGTTCGGAGTGACACGAAAGGCACTCTGAAAAATCTACTGGTTTTATTGCTCCAGGTATGCATTCCTCCATAGGCTGATAACAAACCTATCCTAACATGGACTTCAACTGCACACACTCCATATCCTGGGGGAAAGCTTCACAATAAAGACTCCCTCAACCTCAGCAGCAAAATCACATTGTGAAGATACATTGTGAATAGTAATCAGCTCATTAAGGGCACTTGTTGGTGTGGAAATATGAGTCAAGGCCCTTATTGGTAGCGCAGTACTTGCTGGACATGTACGGTGCTTGCTTGAGCGTCACCGATAGTGATGAACCAAAGGGGGCATCAGAGTTAGGAGTTTTAATCCTGAGGCAGGAGCCAAATACATTCATGACCAAAAGCACAAGAGTTTGGAATATGAAACTGATAATTTGGATACATGCTAGTACTGAGATTCAAAGGAGTGACATCAATCTAATTTTAAAAATACTGTAAATAGCATATCTTTACAACAGTGCAGTTATACACACAGTCCTGCACTCTGTAGGTTTTCCACCCCCTCCCCCATTGCCCCACATCTCCCTCCAAGTTGTTTTTGGACACTCATCCTGTAATCTAGACATTGCTACAATCATTTTAACTCAGGTGAAAATCCTAACAGAAACTATACTCATTTTTCTGCCTCTCTTCTTCCCTTCTCTCTGGTCTCCCTATTCTCTACCAATTGCCTTGGCACCCCCCCAATGTTCACTTAAGATTAAGATATTTATTTAGAACAGGGAATGGACAACTATTTTAAGCATTCGTAATGCAGCCCACAAGTTGGCCATCCCTGATTTAGATAGCTAAAGAAATCTCTCAGTCTTATTTAGTGGAGTCCTGTAGCTCAGTGGTTAGAGCACTCGCTTTTCAAGCGAGAGACCTGAGTTCAATTCCAGGCAGGGCGAAACCTTGGGCAAGTTTCCTTACTCCACACGCCTAATAATAATCCCTCCAAAACCAAAAACAATAATAAATTAGTCATTTTCAATCTACGACTGTTTGTGGGACATTGCTATGCGCAATTGGCTGCCGCGTTCGCCCACAAATATACAGTCAATTCACTTTACAGTGTGTTCTGTGAAGCGCTTTGGGACGTCCTCCCGACGTGAAAAGCGCTATATCAAATGCAAGGATTATTATTATTACTATTAGCCTCATTGATAATTATTGTCTAAATCTAGGCTGATCGAGACGAGGAAAATGATATAAACGAAAACCTGGCTGAACTGGATGCAAAAGAATTGTACAAGGTAACTGAAACAGGATTTGGTCCAAACATTTATCATGGTGCTATTTTTTCCATAGATTAAAAAAGCTAAATATTCAGCAGTCATTTTCAAACTGAGCAAATGGTTGTCTTCACAGGCTGGAGAGAACCGCTGGGGCACTGATGAGCTGCCATTTAATACTGTCCTAGCTAAAAGAAACTGGATGCAGCTCAGGGCTACTTTCAAAGCTTATTCAATCGTGAGTATTTCTGACACCTCACGTGCTGTATGGCAGCCAATGTCTTGACACTTACTAAGTGGTCTGCACTTCACTCACAGGACAATTACATCGAAATAGCACATACCTTTCAATCATTGTGTTCAATAACAACATAAGGGTGAAAATTACAACAACAACTTACATTTGTACAGCGCTCTTTACACAGATAGCGTCACGGAGTGATTAGCTGCGGTGTATCTTGACGCCGAGCCAGAAAAGGTGGGGGGTGACATTTATGACCAGGCAAAATTTGGACTTGAGTCAGTTTATTATTTCTTTCTGTGAGTGTGATTCCCCTCCCACTAAATTAATGGGAGCCTCTATTTGAGTAAAATATTGGTACAGTAAAATATTGGTCTAGTAGCCCTTAACCAATTATTCCAATCAGATGGTTCTGCAAAAATGAATTTCATCCATAGAGGCCTTAGATTGAAACACTGCTTGAAACTACATGCTGGCTATTGGATATTTTCTATAATATCAGGTTGAAAAATGTGACATGGTATTATAATTATCACAGGAGATATTATCACATTGGCAAAAATTCCATTCTCAATATCTCAGATAATACCTGATTCAAAGCCCAACCACAGCAATATACAACGTGAGTAGGACTTCTGGTAACATGAACTCAACTCCAAGGTCGTAACTAAACTCAACTTAAAGCTCAGCTTGCAGTGCAAACCAGCCCAATGGTGGCTGCAGGTCTTCTTCAGACACCTAGATACAAGAATTTGGTAAATAAGAATGTTAAGGAATATGGAGAATAGCTGGGGAAATGGGTTTAGAGAATTGCCAATGGCAGAGCAGGTTTGATGGGCTAAACGGTCTAATCATGTTCTTATGTTCGAGTATGTCTTTAGGAATCCTTGCATCAGAAACATTAACATAAGCACAGGTTCCAAGATGCAAAGAATAAAGTTCTGCTTGTGAGAACTGGTGCTGGTCTGTACCCAGAAGTGACAGCAGTGAAGGGCCTAAGAATTGTAACACTTGTGGTGATGGTGGCTGTCATATGAACTTTTGCCCTTCTCTTTTCTGCACAGCTCCATGGTAAAGACATTGAGGAAGTGATTGAAAGCGAAACATCGGGCGATGTAGAGAAGGCTTACCTGACTATTGGTAAAGTAAAAAGAGTTTTTCACCAGCTCTAATGTGCTGCACATGTCAAACACTTACAAAGAAAATTATTATTTAGGAATTCTGAAATTAGTTATTTCACAAGTTCACAAGCAAGGCTCAGATAAAGAAGGGCCATTTCATCCTACTCCCCTCTCATTACATTATCAGTGGCCTCAAGTCTCCTGAGTCTTAGCCTATGAGGTTCCACCTGTCTTGATTTGGAAGCCAATTTTCTGCAGTCAGTCCTTAAATCAAACCGGCTTCTAAATTAAAATTGAATTTGATCATTTCCACAATTACGCCAATCTTAAATTTTAAGACAAAATGGTCTTACAGGCTAAAACTAGGTGGAATTTCAGGCCTCAAGCTGTTTCCTAAATTAGTCCAGCATCTGAATATGAATCTCAATTTCTGGTAAACAATTCCAGCTATTAATTGCCCTCTGTTTGAAGAAGAAATACTTCTGGTGTCCTAAACTTGCTCTTCATGGTCTTGAACCAGCAGTTGCAGTTGACCTCACCTCTTGTTCTTGCTGCTGTTACATAACCAGGAGAGAGGGAATATAATAATATATAACAATATATATTATGTGGTCAATGACAAGAGCAGAGAATAATTTACACTTGTTCTTAAAATCTGTCTTTAATAATAGTTTTAGGACTGAACACCCCCCTTCCCGACCAGGAGAATGGTTTACCAATTGGTTCTGCTGATTGAAGTGCCACGCTATGTTTGTTTTTAGAGTGAGCCTCACCACTCAATTCTTCATGACTGTGAGCCCGGAAGGGTTTCATTCCTCACTGACACACAGACTGAGGATTAGAATGGAATGGTGAAGCCATAGAAACAGTATTAAATATGAGACCCTTTCTCCTGATAACTCAATCTAAAACTCAGCTGTGTGTTTTTATCTTGCAGTTCAATGTACCAGAGATTCCCACAGTTACTTTGCGAAGCAGTTGCATGAGGCGATGAAAGGTTCAGGAACCAAAGAGGACACCCTGATTCGCATCATAGTAGCCCATGCAGAGGTAAAACTATAATCCTGCAATACTGTGAGACATGTGTGAAAAAGTTTTAATTCTTCAGTGGCAGTTCAGTTCTGATATTCGCAAAAAGAGATTAGAAAAACTGATGAAGATGAAGATAATTTGCATCACCCCAGGACTGGCCGTTTGCCTGCCTTCCGAAACTTGAATCTGACTACGAAAACATTATGTCATAAAATGGGGTTGGTGAGTTTCCCTAATAGTGTAGTGGTTAAAGGCCCTGCTGGAAACAGCACTCGCCCTTGCAAATTGGAAGGCTGAAGAATGTGGAACTCACTGGATGAAGCAGTAGTTGAATCAGATAGTACAGATGTATAGAAGAGGAAGCGAGACATACACATAAGGAAGAAGGAAAGAGAAGTGTTCGGGAGGGAGTAAGGAGTGGTTGGAGACTTACATGGAGGACTGTTGGGCCGAGTGTAAATCTATGTTCACATGTCAGCCCAATCTCAGCTGAGGCAGAGGTAGGAGTGCTACAATGGGTCTTCGTGACCGTCTTTAGGGGAAGGGAAAATAAGCCAATAATCCTGGTCCTGCTTGCTATGTAGAGATGCCTGTGGGTGATGACAGGAGTGGGTTGCCAACACGCACTGTCAAGGCTCAAACATGAGTAATAGCCACTTGGGCAAAGGTACCACAGGAGCCATCAGGCACCATAGAATTATACAGCACAAAAGGAGACCATTTGGCCCACTGTGTCTGTGCTGGCTCTATGAAAAGAGCTATCCAATCCAATCCCACTCCCCCGCGCTCTCCCCATAGCCCTGCAAACTTGTACTCCCCAAATAATTATCTACTTCTCTCTTAAAAGTTGTTATCGAATCAGCTTCCACCACCCTTTCAGGCATTGCATCCCAGATTCGAACTCGCTGTGTAAAAAAATTTCTCCTCACCTCCCCTCTCTTTCTTTTAACAACTATTTAAAATCGGTGTCCTCGGGTTACCGACCCACCCGCCAGTGGAAATAGTTTCTCCTTGTTCCCCCTATCGAATACCCTCATAATTTTGAAAACTTCTATTAAGTCTCGTCTTAACCTTTTCTGCTCCAAGGAGAATAATCCTAGCTTCTCTAGCCTCTCCTCATAACTGAAGTCCCTCATTCCTGGTACCATCCTGGTAAATCTCCTTTGCACCTTCTCCAATGCCTTGACATCCTTCCTAAAGTGTGGTGCCCAGAATTAAACACAGTACACTAGCTGAGGCCTAACCAGTGTTTTATAAAGGTTCATCATAACTTCCTAGTATCCCGTTTGTTTATCCACCCTCTCCATTACTTCATCAAAAAACTCTATCAGGTTTGTTAAACATGATTTGCCTTTAACAAATCCATGTTGGCTGTCCTTTATTAACCCATATTTTTCTAAGTGAAAATTTATTTTTTCCCGCATTTAGTCTCTAGAAGTTTCCCCACTACTGATGTTAGGCTGACTGGCCTCTAGTTCCCGGGTTTATTCTTCTGCCCCTTTTTGTACAGAGGAGTAACATTTGCAACCCTCCAGTCCTTTGCCACCACCCCGGTGTCCAAGGAGAATTGAAAGATTGTAGCCAGAGCCTCCGTTATTTCCATCCTTACTTCTCTCAGTACCCTAGGATGCATACCGTCTGGACCGGGTGACTTATTTACCTTGAGCACCGACAACCTTTTTAAAACCTCTCTCAGTTTATTCTCATCTTATCCAATTTCTGTACCCTCTCCTCTGATACTGTGGCATTGGCTGCATCCTCTTCTTTTGTGAAGACAGACGCAAAGTACTCATTCAGTACATCAGCCATGCCCTCTGCCTCTACAAGAAGATTCCTCTTTGGTCCTTAATTGGACCTAAAATTAGTTTAAACCTTCCCCACAGCATGAATTAACCTCTCTGCGAGGACGTTAGTCAGATTTAACCCATACACCTTGTACAGGTCCCTAAACTGGTCCCAGTGATCCAGGAACCTGAAGCCCTCCTTTCTGCACTTATTCTCCAGCCATGCATTCATGTGTTTGATCCTGCTGTTTTGATACTCACTCGCATGAGGCGCTGGGAGTAATTCAAAGATCACCACCTTTGAGGTCCTACTCTTTAGTTTTTTCCCTAGCTCTGATACTCTCCCTGTAGGATTTCAGACCTTTTTTTCTCTACGTCATGGATCCCAATATGGACCACAACTTCTGGATGTTCCATTTCCCCCTGTAGAATGTTTTGCACTCGTTCCTTGATATCTTCAACCCTGGCAGAAGAGGCAACATACCATGCGAGAGTCACATCTTTGGTTGCAGAAACGTCTGTCTACTCCTTTCACCATTGTGTCTCCAAAGACAATTGTATTAACGCTCTTCCCTGTGTCCCCCTGTGCATCCATTTGCTTTTGACTCCCCTCTCCAGTGGGGTCATCACCCTGACTGATTCACTGCACTGAATACTAATCCCCCTCAGGGGATTTCTGCACTGCCTGTCCCCTCTTCCTACTATGCCGGGTTGTCACTCACTCATTCTCCTTGTGAACCCTATGTGGCTGTGGGGTGACCCTCTCTTGAAACGTTTGATCCATGAACTCTTCAGCCTCCCATATGCTATGTAGTGACACCAGCCTCTCCTCAAGCACAGAAACCCTGAGCTCAAGCTCGAGCAGCTGGAGGCACTTCCTACACACGTGTCTGTCCAGGGCACACAAAGCATCCTGGAGTTCCCACATGGCACACATTGTGCATGCAACTGGTCGCAGCTGCCCTGCCATATTCCCAGACCTGTTTTATATTATTTTAATATAATTTATATATATTATAATTATACACCTCTTTTCCCCTCTGCACCAAATTCCCACTCTTATCAAATTCTTTGACAGAATTCTCCACCTCACTCAGTTCCCTCCCCACACTGCTGGGCTCTCTGCTCCAGCTTTATACAGCTTTATACAGCATAACCCTAATGAAAGGGGAGAGGGACGGAAAAATCTCAGGAGAAAGAATGGATAATGGATCAAAGTTGTTCTCTCCCTTCACAAGCCTCTTTTACAGCATTTCCACCTGAAAAGCAAATGCAGCAGAAATATCGAGCATGAACTGCTGTAGATGGGAGTAGCTCATGACAGTGCCCTCTTTAATGCCACTCAGAGCTGAACCATGTTCTTTCTTTAAATAGGTTGATCTTGTCTTTATCAAGGAGAAGTATAAGGAGTTGAACAAGAAGTCTCTGGCTGAGGCAGTCAAATCTGAGACTTCAGGTGATTTCCAGAAGTTGCTGCTGGCCTTACTTCAGTGAAAGGCGTCCGAATACGAGGAGCTTTTCAAACCATCCACTTGTGCATCTCGATACAGACCATGTGACAACACGTTCAAGTTACTTGCAACATGTGAACCTATCTCTGTTGTAGTATTTGACATACTCACAAATCTGGTAGCAGAAATTCCACAATGGGTCTTTATGTACTCTATTGCGTAAAATTTGGCAAATTGTTGAATTGAGTTTGGGACAATGCCTTGGGATGTCCTGCCGAGGTGAAAGGCCCTATACAAATGCAATTGGTTGTTGTTGTTGGACTCTGAAGCTAGTTTTCTGTATTTCTTAAAAGAAACACAGAAAACTATCTTCAGAATTGCAACTGTATTTGGAAATTTGCCAGATCGTGGTCACTCCGAAAATACAACAATCTGGATTTATATAGTATCCTTCACACAGGGTCTCGACGTGTTTAGAGTAAATCTAGATCCAGGTGAAGCTTCTACTCCCAGACTGTCTGTTCACATTCATTTTAAAAAATCTCTAATATTATTTTAATATATAGGAAGCTATTGAAAGAAATAAAGCACTGTTACATAGATTACGTTTACATGGAAACTAATTTTAGAATACAATCTATCCCAATTGATGTTAATCACAATATGATACTTTTGATATTTTTGTTTTAAAGCTGTGTATATATCTCACAAAAAAAAATGTACAAAATGTATCTTGGGCAAAATGTAACCCTGAATACAATGCTTAGTTTTATTGGAATTTTGCATATTTTCTCACCGGAGTGCATTCTGTACTTTTTTAACAAATCGTGTGTGCAGCTCACTGGTTAATGGAGCTTAGCTATAGTGCGTTGAGTTGCATGTAACTCAGAGCATTATTACTTTGCATAAACAAAACATTATTCTGCCAGAGCTGACAAAGGAATGCTTAGTATTATCTCTGAGCGACCAAAATTAGAGCAGATTCCTCCCTCTCTTCCCCCCATCCACCCACATACAAACACACACAAGCACACAAATGCCATTGATATCCTTCACCATCAAGAAATCAATTACTGAAAAAAAATCTAATATTTATTTTAGGGTTAAGTTGTGTTCTTTGGAAGGAATGAAACTATCTTTGGCTTTTTCTGTATTTTTGGATTATTTCCCCTCCTTAAACCAGGAGCTGTCGGTTATTATCAAACGTGTGCAGTATTTTAACTTGAACACTTCTCATTTCAAACAAACAAATAAGATCAGTCAGATGGACTACAATGGGTCTGCCTTGGTCCTGTACATTCCTTTGTCCCTATGTTCTGTTTATCGTACCAAAAATACCCTTCTTCAGATCAGGTCAGGATGCATTAGTTATTGCAGAACGACATTGGTCAGCAGCTCTGTGATTAAGCCATTGGCTAAACTATCAAACATATGAATTGTGCTGCTGTCAAAGTATGAAATAAACATCACTCATCACTTCAGTTTGAGGCACTTGGTTCTGTGATATGTACAAAGTGTCCATTCAAACTCATTCAAAACATTGCAGCTCGTGTCTCTCACACATAATAATAATAATAATAATCCTTGCATTTGATATAGCGCTTTTCACGTCGGGAGGACGTCCCAAAGCGCTTCACAGAACACACTGTAAAGTGAATTGACTGTATATTTGTGGGCGAACGCGGCAGCCAATTGCGCACAGCAATGTCCCACAAACAGTCGTAGATTGAAATGACCAATTTTATTATTGTTTTTTTGGTTTTGGAGGGATTATTAGTAGGCGTGTGGAGTAAGGAAACTTGCCCAAGGTTTCGCCCTGCCTGGAATTGAATTCACTTGCAAAGCGAGTGCTCTAACCACTGAGCTACAGGACTCTACAAGGTCCGTGACCCTATCACCGCCACTTGCGCCCAGCTCCAATGACTCCCCAAACCCCCGAGGATAATAATAATCTTTGCATTTGATATAGTGCCTTATAACGTCTTCGAGATGTGTCAAAGCGCATGATAGAATATACTGTAAAGTGAATTGACTGTTTATTTTGTGGATGAAACGCAGTAGCCAATTGCGCACAGCAATGGCCCACAAACAGTTGTGGATTGAAGTAACCAATTTTTTTTAAAGAAATTATTAAAGAAAGGTGCTTACAACATAAGAACATAAGAAATGTTAGCCAAAAAAAGACCAAGGTCCATCTAGTTTGCCTTCCACCTTCCTGGCGGTCGCACGCACGCACATATGTCCCAAGCTACTTATGTACTATATCCCATAATGTTATTTCCAAAAAGAAAACAAACTAATCTGTGTTTTAAAGAATCAATCGATTCTGTCAATTTGCTGACTATATTCATGTATTGAATATAGGTATTTGCTGACTACATTCCTCGCCTATCCATAGCCACACAATCATTTGATTATCACACCCCCAGAACCGTTTCCTTGCCTTACTCTGCACACACAGAGCATCTGGTTACACCTTGCCTCTCTACACGGCCGGAAGAGGAAGCACATTTAGAAAACTATAAGTGTTTCAGGCAAATACAAACCGCACTCTGCTCTTCCGGAGGAACACCGTGATTGGCAAATTTGCAGTTGCTTACAGCAATGCAGCACAGCAGAAGCACATTCGCACAATCCCTCTTTCTTACGTCAAGAACACGTTGTTCATAATGCCCCATTCCAGACAGTGTGAGGAGCAGCTTGCAAGAGCTGAGGCTTGAGCTCTACCCCAGAGTGTTCCCCAATAGACACTGACTTTAGCAGCAAACAGCTGACACGCACTCACACAATACATGTCAATGCACTTCACATAGAGGCTTGCACGTATTATTTAGTGAACAAACATGTTTTCCTTTTGCGATCTGCCATTTTTTCACCTGAATTACACACATAATCAATAAGCAAACCTTCACAGGATATACTGTAAAGAGGAGTGACTGTATTTTTCAGGCAAATCGCGGCACCCAATTTGCATGCAGCGATGTCCCACAACAGCCACGGAGCATGTGACCAATTTTATCTGTGGGAATTGTCAGTCAGGACACCAGGGGAGAGAGAGAGAAAATCCCTTCTCTTTTCAAATAATGCCGCAAAGAAATTTAATGTCCACCTGAACATGCAAACGAACCTCGGTTTAACGTCACATCCAAAGGACTGCGCCTCCGGCAATGCAGCGCTACCCCAACACTGCATTGGACTGTCAGCTTAGACCAGGGTGGTCCAACCATTTGACCCTGAGGGCTGGATGTCGGATTTGAGAGACATCCTCTGTCTACATTAGCAATATTTGTGTGTTTCCCTTCCAGAAACATAACCCGTAAAATCATATAGAAATCCTGTTTCTAAATTGTGTGACTGTTTTATTTAATTTCACTATATTTTAATTGCAATGCAAACTTTAGATAGGCAATGTAAAAATTCATACACATTTTCAAACACAAACACATTTTAAAACAACAATATACTTTTATCAATAGAGTAGATATATGGAAGAATAATCATTAAATCCAGAGTGATCAATGAAAGTGAAATTAATAATTAAGTGATTCAGTTCTATAAATGCAAGGATTATTATTATTTGATACATTGTTGAAAGAGCTTCACAGAATATGTTATGAAAGTGGATTGATTTGTGGGTGAAAAATGCACATAATTGAATAGCCCTAATGTTTCTCTTGAACCACAGCTCCAATGTCCTCTATTTTCCACATGTACATTTCGTTTCTTACTGAGACTTAGTTCTGTAGTTTTAAAATCGCAAAATGTGCAACAGTATCTTTCTCAAATACTCCTACTGGGTACTTCATCACGTGGAGGGGATGGGGAATGTCTTATCATGCGGAGAGCGAAAGAGACCCTTCATCACATGTGCACTTACCAACTGAGAAGCAGCATAGGCAGTGAGACAAAAATGGCATCTTATATGACTTACACATCACAAATACACAAGTACTGAAATGGCTGGTGATATTAAGGCAAGGTGTCTGTACCATGTTTAACCCATGCACATTAAAGCTATGGTAGCCCATTCTCTCCCTGCACAGTGCTGTATTTTGTGTGCAGAAAACATGAACTGTACAATGAATAACACAATCAAACAGATTTCAAAACAGAACTGTTTTCATAGAATATAAACTCATACAGAGAACTACAATATTAACATTACAGCTGAATTATCAATCACTTTTTAAGAAAATGTTAGGTCAGGCATAAACCCTTAATTCACTCTGCCTGATCTCCCCCATTCAAAGTCTGTGGTTTTAAATCAAATTTGGAAGCGATGTCCATCTTTTTCATTTCAGGATTTGCCTGGCAAAATTGGAGAATCTTGAATTTCTTCTGTTAGGTCCTTATCACTAAGTTGTGTTTAGTTGGGCGATCTGCATTGCCTGATGTCATGATGGCTGGTCAAAACCTTGTCTTCTGTGCTTGTTCACTGTTGTGTACTGCGCATGTGGTCCTTCAGTATTGCAGCCGGTAAGCGCACGTGACAGCATGGGACTTAGGAGCACTGTGTACGCTGCTTCAACACCAGTAAGTACATACGCGGTCAAGGGTCCCCTTCACTCTCCACGTGATGAGCTCTTTCCTCTCTCAGGATCGGTCTCCCCTGGGGGTGGTTTGGGGGAGTGGTCGGTCTCCCCTGGGGGTGGTTTGGGGGAGGGGTCGGTCTTCCCTGGGGGTGGGTTGGGGGAGGGGATGAGTGTCTCCCCTCCCCTACCCCCAGCCCTGCAGTGCTCTGTCCAGTTTTTGCCAAGTCTCTAAAGCCATGCGATGACCAGGGTCAGCTGTGCCCCTTTCCTGAGCGAGTGTGTAATTCTTCTTCCTTTGCCTCACCACCAGCTTCGACCACTGCCTCAGAGTGCTCTGCAATTGCTTGTCGTTCACCAGGCTCTGGATCCTCTCCAAAGTCTCGATGTAGCCGAACGGTTTCTGCCAGACCTTGTGCCAATTTACCATGTGCTCGGTCTCTTGATCTGCCCTCTGCCAGCGCCTCAGGATCCCCTGGAAGCCGGGCTTATTGTCCATCGCTGAGAAGAAGATGCAGAAAAACTTCTTCTCGTTTTGATGCCATTTCCCAAATCGGCCCAAACTCTGATTGTTCATCTCAACCGTTTTCAGAGCTTCATAGTTGCCCACCTTCCTGCTGCCACAGCACCCCATCGTGTCAGGCCAACTGGGCTCAAACCCACAGCGCAAGTTTCAAGGTCTCCCCTTGGGATGTCCTGCTGTTGTTGTATCCCTGGTGGCAGCGCACAACACTTGCTGTCTGTCCTCGGATCCCCCAGAGACGGCCGAGGGAGGCTCCGATTGTTCTGCTCTCCCTCACTCACTTCCTCTATCTCTCTCTCCCTCTGTCTGTCAGCCTCCCTCTCTCCTTCTCTTTCTCTCCACCTCTGTTAATGACTCTTGCTTTCCCTCTCTCAATCACTTTCTCTCTGACACACTCGCTCTCAATTACTCTCTTACCCCAATCCCACTGCCCCCTCTCTGGATCTCTTTTTCCTCTTTCTCTCTGTCTCTCTCACTGATCAATAACAAAATCTCCTTATAATAATAATCCTTGCATTTGATATAGCTCTTTTCACGTCTTCTAGATGTCCCAAAAAGCTTCACAGAATATACTGTAAAGTGAATTGACTGTATATTTGTGGGCGAACGTGGAAGAAACAGTTTCAATTCCGGGCAACTGACAATGCAAAACAAACTCACTTTCTCTTTCTCTCCTCCCACTACAACTAGTGGAGTGAGTATGAGATATAGCTAGAGTTTTGATTTCCTATCATCATCTGCCTGGAATTGAAACTGACTCTCAAGGAGATCCGGTTGTAATTTCAAAGAGAGAGAGAGAGAGAATGAGAGAGAGAAAGAATGAGAGAGAGAGAGAGAGGAAATAAAATAGAGTGGGAGGGAGGGAGATAGAGAGAGGGGGGAAAGAAAAATAGAGAGAGTAAAAGAAAAGCAGAGAGAGAGAGAAGGAAAGAAAAACAGAGAGGGAGATAGAGAAAAACAGAGATGAAGGGAGAGAAAGAGTTTGAGAGAAGAAAGAAACAGGGAGGGAGTTAAGAGTGTGAGAGTGGGGGGGAAACAACGAGGGATGGAGAAAAGAAAAATAGAGAGAAAAGAAAAAGAGAGGGAGAATCCAGAGTGAGAGAGAAAAGAAAAACAACAACAACTTGCATTTATATAGCATACCTTACGTGGGACAGCATCCCAGAGCGCTTGAGGGAGGGAGAAAAGAAAAATAGAGAGAGGGAGAGAAAGAGTGAGAGAGGCAAGAAAAAAAAGAGTGGGAGGAGAGAGAAAAACAGAGGGAGAAAGAGTGTATGAGAGAGGAAAGAAAAGAGAGAGAGAGTAGAAGAGTGGAAAATAGAGGGATGGAGTGTGAGAGAGGAAAGAAAAATAGAGAGAGGGAGAAAGAGTGAGAGAGAAAAAGTAGAAATAGGGGGAGAAAGAGCGGCGGATTGAGAAAAA